CGCGTGTGTCTGGCCGAGCTCGCCTCGGCCCCCCGCACCCCAGGCCGCGCAGCCCCGTTGTCGCGCGGGCTTTCCCTGCCCTGGGTCCCAGGCGCTTCTGGGAGTTTCTGCTCGCTGAAGTCTCTTCCCACTGGGAGGCAGGGTGGCGGGATGGTGCTCGTGTGGAGGACCTGGGGGCTCCCGAGACGTGTGCGGTTCGGGAGAAGGCCGTGAACCCTCTGAGCCTCTCTGTGTAAAGAGGGCACGAATCCTCACAGCATTCCTGAGGAGTGAGCGTCACGTGGGGTAAACTGAGGACGCCACTGGAACAGTCGGGGTGACCCCACTGTCCCGTCTTCATTCCCTTCTCCCTTCTCCCTGCGGACCTGCGGGTGGCTCGGTGCTGACCTGGGGGTTGAGTGTGGTGCTTTCTGTGACTGCTGCTACGGGCCTCTTACCTGGGCGATCGTGATGGCCGGTGTTTATTGAGTGTGTGCTTTTTACGGGACGCTGTGCTGTCCGGGCTTTCATCCGCACAACACTGAGAGTCGAGTTGCCCTTCCCTTTGGGCAGGGGAAGGCAGAGATTTGACAGGTTGCGCAGCCATGATGTCCTGTGGAGTTAGGTCTGACCAGATGTCCCCAACCCAGAGCTCTTGGCCACGTTCCTTTGTCCACTTTCTTCCTAAGGCGCTTGTTTCTCCTTTTCCTTATCTGTCAAATAATGGGGTTGGACTTTTCTTTTGAACTCTTTGAGGTCACATTAGGCTCTGGTCTTCTAAGGGTCTTGACTGGTGAAGGCCAGAGACTCTATTTGAATCTCACCTTCCGCCATGAGTGACTGGGTGACCTCAGAAGAGCAGGTCTTGCCACTTGGCAGATGGCACAGAAAGTCATTTCAGCTGTGTGGCAATCTTGCAAGAGTGCTTGGCACAAAGAAGGCACTCAGCAGCTGGAGGTGAACTGTCACTTTTCCTTATTTTCACAACTTCCAGTAGGGCCTGGTTTTTACGATCTTAGCAGTGGCTTCCTCAAAGAAAGAGGGTGTGTCTGACTTGGGACCTTGCACACTATCTTGATTCACTCTCAAACTTTTAGGTTCATTGGTGGTCTGCTTAGGCAGTCTCTCTCTCTCTCTCATCTCTCTTTCATCTCTCCATCTCTTTTCATGTTTTGAGGCAAGGTCTCACTGTGTTGCTCAGGCTGGCCTTGATCTAGAGGCAATCCCCCTGCCTCAGCCTCCTGAGTGCTGGGTTACAGCCATGCACCAGCATGCCCAGCAGGAAGCACAAGGAATCTTGAAGTCAGCTAGGAACCTTGCTACCACAGAATTACCTAGTTGACAGTTTCTCTGTGTCCAGTCCTCGGGTGCCTCCAGCTCACTGCTCCAGCCACACCACTTTTATCCTGGTATCTCAAATGTTCCAAATTATCTGTTCTTATGGTCTTTGTTTCTGCCCCAATCACACTCCTTGTGACTGGTTTATTTTCATCTTCCAGCTTCTTGTCACCTTGGAGAGGCTGTCACCCACTAGGACACTTGTACCACGTGGGCCCTGCCGCTTCTCTGCCTCCGTGCTGGTGATTATGAGGCTCTCCCAAGGTCAGGGTGCCACAGCCTTAGAGTAGTAGAGCAAAGCATCCTCGGTGCACAGGCGTAGTCTGGTGAGCTTTGTTCAGTGTGGAGGACACTGGAGGGCTCCTGGGCTGACTGGCAGGAAGTGGAAGGGGTGAGAGTTGAGGGTGCTGAGTCTCGTCCTAGTGAGTGACAGCTGGCGCCGTCCTTCCCCTTTGCAGTCACCATCTGTATCTGGGAAGTGCCAGTGGAGCCTCCCCCCAGCAGGAGACCGAGTGGGACTCCTTGTCCTCGTGTGAGGGGTTAACCGTGGCAGTGGCCTGATGGGGGCCGGGACCGAAACGGTTGCTCTCCTTTCCCCTGCTGCTCCTCATTCCAGCCCACTCTATCCTCCCTCCTCACCTTGCAGCAGTCCCTCCTCCAGGTCTTTCCGTAAAGGTCTGTTTATGCAGTAATAGGTCTTGAGTATGCCTGGCGGTGTGCTGTGTGTTAGGATGTGGTAGTCCATGGGACGGCCATCAGGTACCTACCACGTGGCAGGGGCGGGATGGCGGGCGCCTCTGTGTGCTTTCCGTGAGCGCATCGGCGGTGGAGCCACTCTGGATGCCAGTGTGTCCATTCCTAGGAGAGTGGGTGCTACAGTGCAGCAGTCTCATCTAAAGACTGGGGAAACTGTCTCCACGAGGAGACAGACACGAAAATGGCTATAGTAGTATTGCTTATTAAAAGAACAGCAGCAAAAGTGGTACTAAGCTAGATGGTCTTCAGCAGGAAGGTAGATAAATAAGCTGTGACGGATGAGTTGGTGCATGGTTTACTGAGCCACTCTGTGTGTTGCTTGGGGATGCATATGTGTGTAATAAATGTGTAAAGTAGTGCTTGAAAATAGTAAGTACCAGGTTCCAGATAGGGGTTCCTCAGGAGGTGGGAGGTTCTTTAAAGCATCAGCTTTCTTGGTGATGCTATCTTCCTTAAGCTAGTAGAGGTGCACAAGAGAATCTTTATTGTTCAGGCTGGCCTCAAACTCTAGGGAATCCACCTGCCTCCACCTTCCAAATGCTGGGATTATAGGTGTGTGCCACCACACCCAGCTCTTTTTTGATAACTTCCTGTGTGTTACATATTTCATAACTTTAAAATAGCAAGCAGTATGTCCTGCAGTGAAAGCCTCCAATCTGGAAGGCTCAGTACCCAGCCTGAGACTGAGGGGCAGGCAGGAGAAGCATAGGGAAGGGACATGGTGACAGTGCAGGTCCAGAGATCCATGAGAGGCCAGTGTGGCTTGGAGAAGGAGTAGTGGGGAGGAGGGGAAATCTTCTGGAAGTGTCTGTAAAAAGTGTCTTTTTTCCCATGTGTCAGGTTCTGTGCATTTCAGACTCCACGAAGCATATTAGGATTTGAAGATGTGACCAGAGTTCAGTCTGATCAGATTGACACAGGGAGAAAGTTCAGCAGGCTTTTGCCCCTGTGATGGGTTTAAAAAGAGTCTCACCTAGGGCTGATTGTGTGTCCCTAGGAAGATCTGGAAGCCCTCATTGCCCATTTCCAGACACTGGACGCCAGAAAGACAAAGATCACAGAGACCCCATGCTCCCCGCCTTCTGCACGGTAAGCCAGCTGACTCCTTTGCTTTGTGATTCTGACCATTTCCTTTCCTCTTCTAAACTGGAAAGCTGCTTTCCATCAGCACCATGTTTTCCTAAATGACCCAACCCTGGGGACATTTTCCTCACTGAAACCTGCTGTGTGATCCGTTGCCCTGAAGAGCTGGGCTGTGGCTGTCAGCTCTGCTGTCCTGCAGTTTCTGTGAGGTGAGGTTTCCCAGAAGTCTGCTCCCCTTGGGGGTTTTGTTCATTTGTTTTTTTGTTTTCATGAGACAGGATCTCGAATTGTAGTTTGGGCTGGTCTTGAATTCACTATGTTGCTAGACTGACTGAGAACTCTGGGTGATCTTCCTGCCTCAGCCTCCCAAGTGCTGGGATTACAGGTGTGTGCTGCCATGGCCAGCGGGCTGCTCTCCTGGGATCTGCTTGGCTGTAAAGGCTCTCTAGTTAGCAGCAACTTGTGGGCAAAAGGTTGCCTCAGCAAGCTTTGCTTTTGTTCTCCAGGTGTTTTAAAAGTGTGTATCACAGGAGGAAAACAAAATCACCATAGCATTGTGCTGTGTTTACTCCTAAAGCTTTTAAATTCTCAGGTGAAGCCAGGCATGGTGGCGCACACCTGTAATCCCAGCCCTCGAGAGACTGAGGCAGAAGGATCAGCAAGAGTTGGAGACCAGTCTGGACTACCCAGAGAGTTCAAGGCCAGCCTGAACTCTAGGGCATGTGGCTGTCTAAAAAAAAAAAAAAAATTAAATGAATTCTCAGGTGAAAATCTAGTGAACATAAATTTTACTGGGCCTTGTGCCACACACCCATAATCCCAGCACTCTGGGATGCTCAGGCAGCAGGATCGCAAGTTAGAGGTCTGCCTGGGCAACTTAGCAAGACCCTTTCAAAATAAAAATAAATAAATAAAAGGTCTGGTGATGCAGCTCCTGTGAAGGCCCTGGGTTCAGTCTCCAGTACATGCAGTAATGTAGAACATCAGTTCATGTGTGAGCCATTTCAAATGAATGTATGAGTGATGAGAAATACACCAAGTTTTTCAGACACCTGTGGGACACACAAAGGGAACAGTCTTTGGTCTGCATGTGGCTTCTTCCCTAGCTTCTGAGTTCTAATTATTAACAGTTTGATTCAGGGTCTCATAACTTTTGTTTGCTGGTCACAGACCAGAGGTGTGCTAAATGCATCGCACTAGGAACCTGGGAAAGACCCAGTGTCCTCATAAACAGATATGGTGTCATCCAGGGTAGGGAGAAGCGTAAGCTTTATAGGCTTCTGGGCTGCATTTGTATAGTTCTGGAATGTTTCTGTTTCCTTCAAAATAAAATTAAACTTCTAGGCTGCATCTCAGTGCTGCTGTCACACCCTGTAGTGCAGCCCTTCAGGGAGGCCCCGTTATTGTGCTCCCTTTTCATCTGTGAGGTGCAAGTGAAATGCAGATCCTTCAGACCCAACAGGTGGGCTTTTGTCATCACCTGTGCCCAGGTGCAGGAGGTACATGGTGATGAGCCTTGGATCAGCTCCAGGTGGGAGGCCTTTCTCGTCTCCCTTTAATAAATTCTGCTGGGAATTGGGTTTCGTTTTTCCCTGTAGTTGGTGTGTTGTCTTTGGGTGAAACATGATTTGCTCGTGGCAGGTGGATGTTTGCTTTTGACTTGTTGAAGGAAATCTGATCCTAAGGCTTCACATATGTACCAGCACTCACGTGGAAAGCCACTGAGTGTGGAGTATTGTTATTTTTTGGTGATGTGTTAGAACTTTTTCCAAAATAACTTTGCCCCAAAAGCCAGGTTTGGTGTCAGGCTGCGGTTTAATATGTGGGTGGCTCCCAAGGTCAGGGGTAGAGTAGTTGCTGTTTGCAGGCAGCTGTTCCTGACCAAGAGAGATGGAATGAGAGCATGCTTCTTTGGGCATGTTAGGCAAAAGGCCGTGAATTACAAGTTCTTGAGAATTACAAGTTCCTGAGCACTGGCCCAGGTGTGGTCTGTCTAAGGGTACATGAGGACCGGCACCCGCCTCCTTCCCTGCTTCTCGCTGCACGTGTCTCCATCCATGCCTGGGTAAGGTGGGGCCTGTGGTTGGTGCTATGGGCCTCCTGCAGCTTCTTCCCAAGTGATGTTGGCTACTTTTCCACAGAAAATTAATGGATAGTCAGAAAAAAGTCAGAGTACCGAAGGAGCTTGGGAAACGCATTTATAGGGGCCAGGGTTTTAGCTCAGTGGTGCCGCCTCCTGCTTCACAAGTGCAAGGTCCTGAGTTTGATTTCCGATACCAACAAAAGAAAAAGGCATTTATATTATGGTGATATATATAAAACTGGAAATTTGCCATTTACAACATTTTTTACTTAAACTCAGTGGGCTTTTTATGGTCACAGTGCTGTGCAGCCATCAGCACTGTCCAGTTCCAAAATTTCATCTTCCCCCAAACAGCAGCCCTGTCCCTGTGAAGCAGTCACTACTTGTTCTTCTGCTGCGAGCTGCAGTCCGCTTTCCCCTGCTGTGGACTTCCTGTTCCGGGTGTTCCACAAAGGCGGGGCCACGCGGTGTTCCTGTGTGGGCTTCTGCCTGTCTGTTTCCCAGGTCCTCTGTGTTGCAGCAGGGATCCGAGCCTGCTTCCTTCTTGGGGCTGGAGGATCCATGTTGTGGATCCTCTCCTGTCGGGACTTGGCTGCTTTCCCTTTGGCTGCTGAGTCCTGCTGTGGTGAGCATTGCTGGACGGGCATCTGTTTGTGTCTGGACCTAGGAGTACACCACGGACTTGGGTGATGCTGGATTGAGCCCTCTGAGCAGCTGCTGTTTTCCCCGCAGCTGCACTCTTTCATTCAGGCTCTTACTGCAAAATTTCCCAACCTGTAGAATGCTCCGGTACACAGTAAATCCCCAAGAGAAAATAGGAGCTTCAGATTCCCCATCTTACTTGACCATGAAACCTGTTTATCCATTGAGAAGCCGTCTTAGGAGGAATGGTGTGGACATGCTGTGGACAGCCTTGCAGAGGAATGCAGGGCACTTTCCAGTGTGGCCCTCATAGTCCCTGCAACTTTTCTAGCTTTCTACAGAGATAGAGTATGTGTGTTTTGATTTTTGTCCTGGAGTGTGAAGTAAATGAAATTAGTAACTTTTTTTGGTACTGGGGGTCAAATTAATGCAAGGCAGGTGGTGGAACCACTGAGCCAAATCCCCCGCCCTGAAGTTAGTAACGTTTTCTAGATGGAGGGCACCTGGCGAATTGTTGAAGTACCTCCCGGACAGGACCTTGGAGAACAGTTCTGATGGTGATGTGAGTGACCTGAAAGCAGGACGGGCTGGAGACTGGGCATGGAAGTTGGTTCTAGACTTCTTCCTGCTGGTGATGTCGTCGGCTGGCTCGGAGTAAGGCAGCACAGACCAGGGCTTTCCCTGGAGCATGAGCCTGGCATCCGGCTGGCGGCCAGCACGTCGGGCCCAGGGTGGCGCCTGTGCTTCCGTGCTGAGGCCCAGGCCCTCTCTCGGGGTCTAGGAAGGCCCGCCTCTGGTGAAAGCCGTGCAGACGGGAGGAGCCTGGCCACCTCGTGGGACTCTGCTCACTGCTGTTCGTGTCTCTCACAGGTTGAACGCCTCCCTCTCTGCACATCCTGAGAAAGACGAGTTAATCCTTTTCGGAGGTGAATATTTCAATGGCCAAAAAGTAAAGTATATATTTTTTTCTCTTTCTCCCAACTTCCCAGGTGTCATTTGTAGTGAAGTTAGAGTCACAGTATAAATGGCCGTTGGTCCTTTCACTCCTCTCTTGTGTGTCCCACTTCCTGAGCATCAGGCCCGAAGACGGGCTTCTGAGTGTCACCAGAACCCCGTGAGGGCTGAGTGACTGTGCTGCCCTAGTTCTGCAGGTGCTTGTCCCTTGGGACTCAGCTGTCCCTACAGTCACTCCTGGCCACACCTGTTTTAGGTGGACCTGTGCCCCGCTCCTCCTCATGTGACTTTTCAGTCTTGTGGTGCTGGGGATCCGTCCCAGGGCCTACATGCGCTAGGCAAGTGCTGTGCCACCGAGCCACACTTCCAGTCCTCAGAGTTAATTTGAATACAGAAACTGCCGGTGAATTGTGAGGCTAAGGTTTTCTCAGCAGGCCAGAAAGCCCTGTGTGTCAGACTTGTGTATGAAGCAGTTAAAATGTGATCTCCAGTCCCTCAAACCTCGAGGAGCTCCGAGTCTGACTTGCCTCCTCTGGGCATTTGCGTGCATTTCTAGACCCCAGGCTTGAAGCAGAGTGAGGAGGCTGCGTGCGCAGCCAGGCTCTCAGGGCCTTGGAGGTCAGTAGGTGTGGGGGCGGGGCCTTTTTCTTTGTACCATGGCCCCTGACTTACACAGGTTCTGCTTACAAGTCCTTGACCTTACGATGGTGGGACAGGGGCCCTACTTGATCATTCTGGCTTTTACCTTTGGAACAGTGTTCAGTGCGTGGTGTGAGAGTTCTCACTTTGTGAGGTAGTCTGCACTGGATGGTTTTGCCCAGCTGTAGGCTGATGCCAGTGTTCCGAGCACGTTTGAGGTCGGCCTGGTTTCGGGAGGTCAGGTGTAGTAAATGCATTTTCAGCTCACATGGGTTCACCACGGTGTGATGACAAGCATCTATCTACACGCCAGAGTACCCTGGGACCTGCGCACTGTCCGCCTGCATTGGTCAGATGCACAGCGCTCCAGGAGACAAGCTTCCCCGCCAGTTCTAGTGACTGCTAGAATCCTGGCTACTTCCGTCACTTGCCTAGCATGTCCTTCATGACACTGAAGGTCGTCTTCCTTCCTGCAGACATTTTTGTACAACGAGCTTTATATCTACAACATCAGAAAGGACAACTGGACCAAAGTCGACATCCCTGGGCCACCGCCAAGGCGCTGTGCTCACCAGGTAGCATTGTTACTGTTCTCAGCCCTCTTTCCCCTTCCTGTGTCCAGAGCTGGTGGGTTTTTTAGACTGTGGCTGACGGGCAGCCTCCTGCAGAGACTGGGCCTCCTAGGCTATCCTGGGTTAGCTGATGTGCTAGTGTTGTTGTTTGGATTTGTTTGGGGTTTTTTTTGTTTTGTTTTTGAAATAGGATCTTGCTATGTAGTTGTGGCTGGCCTTGAACTCACTATGTAGCCCAGGTTGGCCTCAGACTTGCTGGAATCCTCCTGCCTCAACCTCCCAACCTTATAGATGTGCACCACCACGCCTGGCTGTTGTTTTGAGACAAGGTCTCCCCGTGTAGTTCAGTTGGACTCACTGTGTAGCCCAGGCTGGACTTGAACTCTCAGTGATCCTCCTGCCTCAGCGTCCCAGGTGATGGAATATAAGCGTATGCCACCACGCGCAGCTGGCTCTGCTTTTTGTAACCTAAGCTGCTTCCATTTTCATTGAAAGTCACACCCACTTCACCTGCTCCCAGGGGGCGTGAAGATGGTGTGTGATGCTCTCTGTGAAAGCATCTTATGTTACACCTGGCGTGTAACAGCCACTTTGCAGTGCTTGAGTGAGAGGACCCCATGGTGCCTCAGTCTGGACTGGGTGGTGAACAGAAGACAGAAGCTCCGAGAGGGGCGCGTGGTGGAAGGAAAGTCGTTCTTGTAGAATGAAAGAAGGCATGAGGAAGAAGTCTCGGGCAGGGAGCAGGGGCTGACGGTCTCTGCCACCTCGGGGAGCCTTGTCGGAGCTGCCGGGCCTCGCAGGGAGCGGCTCCTGGTCTCGGTGTCCCCCAGGCTCCGTAAGGCTGCGCCGTGTCACTTCCGGGAGGGAAGCAGGGAGCGCACATCACAGCCCACGCTTCTGCTCCTCTGTGGAGGCTGCAGTCAGCCCACAGGAGGGGGAAGCGGAGGGTGTGAGCGTGGCTCTGCACTCACAGGGTGGTTGGTGCTCCCCGAGGGACAGTGACACTGACGTGAACCGATTTTCTCAGAAAGAATGAAAAGCAAAGCATTTCGGGTGGTGAAGAGTGACGGTCGTGTTCTGGCTGCTCAGCACGATGACTGGTGTGCATGGGGAAGAGTCACCGGGAAGGGTAACCGGCTAACTCATCAGCCTGGTGTCCGGCCGGTGCGGAAGTGCTGGTCTGCAGCCCAGTGGGGCCTCAGATTCCCCTCTGAGCAGCCCTGCAGGAGTCCTCCCATGCCTGTGATCTGAGGAAGTAGTTACTGAGTGTCCTGGGTGCCGGCCCCATGCTGGGTGCTGAGGACAGGAGACACTCGCTCCTCCCGGCAGGCACTTCGGGCCTCTTTTGGTGCTGCAGGTGTCACACACTACCTCAGCAGAAGCCCAGGGCTGACGTGAATCCCATTCCAGGGTCGGTTTTCTGTTGGACCCCCTGGTGCGCCTCCTTTAGAGCAGGAGAATGGGCTTGTTAGTCAGGTTAAAAGGTTATGTCCATTCACCACCCTGTCTCTGCTTTGTGTGCATGCAAAGGGCCGTTTTTATTTCCGATCTGTTACTGAGGGGTCACACAGGTGAGAGCTGTGCGCGTGACCTCAGTGAGTTGGACCTGCAGCCAGCATGAGCAGACTGTGCTGGGGCAGCCGCATCTCACTGAAGATGAGGGAGCTGTGTTGATAGTGTGGCTTCCTTGGTGTCCTGTCAGTGCCTGCACACAAACACATTTCTGTCCAAAGTCCTGGACCAGATGTTTTGTCTTCACGTCATCAACGGCTCCAGAAACGCAGCACTTGTCAGATGTGCAGGGCACAGGCTAACTTTGTATTTGAGAAGGAAACCTGCTTTCTTCAAAACATGGCAAGCGAAGAGATTTCCTTATCATGTACAGTGTTCCATTATTCCAGTTGGTGTTATCACTTGTAGGTGTTTTATTTCTTTATATTAGAACCCCTATTGTGTGGGGGTTTTTTGTTTGTTTGCTTTGTTTTTGTTGTTGTTTTTTGAGACAGGGTTTCACTGTGTAGTTGAGACTGACCTGGAACTCACTATGTAGCCCAGGCTGGTCTCACAGCGATCCTCCTGCCTCAGCCTCCTGAGTGTTGGGATTACAGGTGTGTGCCACCACTCCCAGCTTGTGATTTTTTTTTTTTGCATTAAATTTATTGGTACCATTTAGGTATACATAATGATAACCTTCATTATAGGGATTTGTACCTGGATGTGATATATCTTTTTTCCTCATTCCCCTCCCCTCAACCCCCGCTTCCCTTATTTACAAAAGCTTTGTTTTCATTTTTTTCTTATTCTTTTTTTTCCCTTTTCCCTTCTTTCCTTTCTCCCTCCCCTCTTCCTTGTTCTCCTTCTCATTTGAACATTTTCTTCCCATTTCCTAATGTCTGTTATGCATTTTGATCCTTATTTACACTTTCGGTTTCTCACACCAGAGGAACAATTCTGTATTTAAACGTGTGTCCAATTTATTTCAGTTAAGAGTATGATATGAAGGTGCATCCATTTACCTAGGAATATCTTAAGCTTATCCTTTATGGCAGAGTAGTAGTCCAGTGTAGGAAAAAACATGGCTTTTTATCCTTGATTGTATTTGGGTTATATAAATAATATATCACTGTGGTACGATGCTTTTAATTCTTTTAGGCAGTTAACAAGAAGGGGAATAGCTGGGTTAAATGGGACCTCTAGTTTTAGTTTCTTTCTTTTTTTTGGTACCAGGGATTGAACTTGGGTCCTTGCGCAGGCCACCAAACCGCTGAGCTAAATCCCTGGCCCCTAGTTTTAGTTTCTTGAGAAATCTTAAATAATATATCACTGTGGTACGATGCTTTTAATTCTTTTAGGCAGTTAACAAGAAGGGGAATAGCTGGGTTAAATGGGACCTCTAGTTTTAGTTTCTTTCTTTTTTTTGGTACCAGGGATTGAACTTGGGTCCTTGCGCAGGCCACCAAACCGCTGAGCTAAATCCCTGGCCCCTAGTTTTAGTTTCTTGAGAAATCTCCACACTGATTTCCACAGGGGTTGCATCAGTCTGCACTCCCACTGGCAGTGGAGCAGGGTTCCTTTTACCCACAGCCCCTCCAGCATTTGTTGTTGGTTGATTTCTTGATAACAGCCATTCTTTCTGGGGTGAGATGGAATCTCAGCGTTGTTTTAACTTGTATCTTGAATCCAATGATGTTGAGCATTTTTTGTTTGTTTGTTTGGTACTAGGAATCAAATGAAGGGCCTCACGCTTGTCAGGCAGGTGGTGTGCTGCTGAGCTACACCCTTGGCTTTTCCGAATATTTATTTGCCATGACTCCCTATCGCAACCTGTTTTTTTGTTTTTGCTTTAGATAGTTTTTCAAGAAATTTTAACACAAGAAAGGGACAGATCATGTCTACTACAGTCTTTTTGTAAGACCTGCAGTTGACTTAAGAGTTTACCATTGCCAAGCTATACAGTGGTGTGCACCTGCGGCCCCAGGGGCCTACAGCTTGAGGCAGGAGGATCTGCAAGTTCTAGCCTCACCTGGGTAGTTTGCCAGTTTACCAAGATCTCCTTTCAATCCCCAGTACAGAGAAAAAAGTGGTTTGGCCTTTCCAGCCTACTTTATTCCTTGTAAATTGTCTTTGTCCGTCAGTCTAAAGAACTTTTTTTGCCATTTCTTAAAGCAAGATCTGCTGACAGCAGGTTTTTTAGGTTTTTTTTTTTTTTTTTTTTTTGGTTTTTTTTTTTTTTTTTTTTTTTTTGTCAGTGACTATGCCTTCATCTTGAAAGTGTTTCTGCTTGACAGGGAATGCCAGCTGACACTGGGAGGTGTGTGTTGTTTTCAGGGAACAGTTAGCGGCCATTCTTGGGTTCTGTTTCTCAATGTTGGACAGGGACCTGGGGCCTGCTGCCTGCTAGGTAAGGGTTGTACCACTGAGATACATTCTGGCCAGTCATTCTTAATTCTGTTTGGCGTGCATTTTGTCCTCCTTAACGCTGCTTAGAAGATTTTCCCTTTGTCCTTGGTATCATTTTGGTTTGATGCATCTCTGTCTCTTTCTAGGTCAAACGTGTGTTAGACTGCTTTAATATTGTCCAACTAGATAATCTCCATTCATTCTCATTCTCTCACCAACTCCCCAATCCCTCCCTCCTTTCCTTTCTTCCTTTCTTCTGTTCTTTCCTTCCGACTGAACCTCACTGTGTACTTCAGGCCAGCCTTGAATTCATGGTGATCCTCTGTCTCAGCCTCCCGAGTGCTGGGATTACAGGTGTGCGTCACCATGCCTGGCTCCTTCAGCTTTTTATGTCCATGCTAAATTTTGGATGGTTTCTGCTGCCCCTTTCAAGATCAGTGAATGCTGTGAAATGATGAATTTTCCATCTGATGCACAGTGTTGACAAGCCCTGGACACCGTTTGGTTCTTCATCATGCTTTCTGTTTGCACCATGTTCGCGTTCCCTTTACATCTTGGTGCATAGCTATAAGCTTAATAAAGGCTGCATTCTGTCGTTTCTGATCTGGGCTGGTTTCTGGTGGCTGTGGCTCACATTTTCCTGCTAGTGCTGTGTGCTTGGAGCCGGGCTTTGTGAGCATTGCCTGTTGGGTCTGCACTCTCTCCTGTCCATCAGTGGAAGACATCATCCTGGTCAGCAGGACCGTGAATTCTTGTGATGTCCTGCTAGGGCTGTCATAGCTGTAACCTGTGGCCCTGGGGGCTTTCCGCGTGATCAGTGACATCTTCACTGTGCCTGGTTGGCACCTGCCAAGCCCTGTGTCCACTCAGGTCGTTTTCAGGTTTGTGGTGCCGTGGAGGTGATTCCCCGCCTGGCCTCCTGTGCTCTGACCCTGCCTGTGTATGCGGTGTAGGTTCCCAAGGCTTTCTGTCTCACAGCTCCCTCTCTCCAGGGCTCTGCCCTGCTAGTGCCTGCCGCCCAGCACACACAAGCCCCAGCTGTGGCTCTGCATGCGTTGGCGCCGTGCCAGCCTTCCTTTGCCCTGTGTGGAAGCATCCTTAGGCTTGCAGACCCTCATTGGCACCCTGAAATGAAAGGAGATGAGCCACCTGGCATTTCAGAGCAGTGCTGGCCGTGGGCCTTCACCTTGGCGTGGGACCACTCGGTTCCCTCATTCTTCTTATGCACAGTCCCGGTGTCACAGCTGTGCAAGCCCGTGATGTGACCCTGAGCTCCCTGCAAGGGCCCTCCCCAGCTCCGTCCCCTCTGATGTTTACAGCTGTTGACAATAAAACTGCCAAGTGCCTGCATTTGTACAGGACGCAAGCAGGCCTCTGCCCATCTGTGGCATCTGTTGCTGAGGGGAAGCGGGAGGGACTGGGACGTTCCGCCCCAGCTCTCTGTACATGGGTGCTCTCTGCAAGTGCAGCTGGTCTCCCAGACTGCTCCCATGTCTCCAGGGCTGTAGCTCCTCAGGCTTTGTGCTGTGGCCCTGTGCTTCCTCCCCTTTGGTTGGTGGTCTCTGGTGACGAATGCAGACACCTCTGGAGCAGATTTGATATTCTGGGCCCATGGGATCACATGGCTCACAGCTGTCCTGGGTCCTCTGCAGCTGGTTAGGACAGCGGGAGCTTCCTGCATGCCTGCCTGCAGGGCCGCACTGCCAGTGCTTTCATTCACCCTTGCTGTTGTCTTAGTCCATTTTGCAGAATAGCACAGTACCACGGCTGGGTAGTTTGTAAAGAGCAGCAGTTTTTCTGTCCACTCTGGAGGCGGGGATGTCCGGGGTCGGGGTGCCAGCATCTGGTGAGATTTTTAGCACTGTGTCATAACCCAGCTGGCGCTTGTGTGGCAAGAGAGCCCATTTGTGACAAGGCCCCTCCTTTGATCAGTGAGGGTGGAGACCTAGGGTCCCTCCCACCGTACTTCCTTCCTCCAGCACTGTCACAGCAGCAGATTTAAATGTCTGGGTGTTGCAGGGCACATCCGAACCCTACCAATTTATTTCAGGCTTTTAGAAATAAATGTTAAGCTGGGTATGGTGGTGCATACCGGTCACCCAGCACTGGGGAGGCTGAGGCAGGAGAATCACTGGGAATTTGAGGCCAGCCTGAACTACATAGGGAATCCCTGTGTTAAAAAAAAGAAGAGAAGAGAAATAAACATTAATAATATTTCATATTATATGTATATTTTATTTCTCGTGGTACTTTTAGGTGTGCAGTGCTTTCCAGCGGGGATAGGACTGGTGAGGGCCAGAGAGCAGCCTTAGTGTAGACATTTAGTGAGATCTGTGGTTAGCTTGTTATAGCTACTGTTATGACTACTGTTATAATGTTATGACCAGTGTGACCCTCTGAAGTAACTGCATTTTAGTGAAGTGTGGCATAGTCTGTATGTCGGTGGAAGTCCACACAGCCCTCTGGGGTGACACGAAAGTGGCTCAGTTGGACTGAGGAGGATACCTGGAAAATCGTCTGCATGGAGGGTGGCCCGGGCCCTCAAGGTGGGCGGTGCTATTGCCTCTGGGCACTCGGGAGCCGCCTGTGCTGCTGTGTGGCTAGCCTGACTGTCACTTTTCCCCTGGCAGGCAGTGGTGGTGCCTCAGCGCGGCGGACAGCTGTGGATCTTTGGAGGGGAGTTCGCATCCCCTGATGGAGAGCAATTCTACCACTACAAGGACCTTTGGGTGCTGCACTTGGCCACCAAGATGTGGGAGCAAGTCAGGTGAGTTGCTGGACAGAGGCCCAGTGACTGGAACTGGGCAGTGGTGGGCAGAACTCGGGGAAGCCTGGGCTTGGAGGGCTCTGACTGCCAGCCTTCATCAAAGGCGTTGCCAGGACTGGCTGGGACCAGCAGTGCGTTCAGACTGTTTCCTGTCTGCACTGTAGCCTGTCACTGTCATGTTTTCCTCTGCTGGGCTGGCTGTTTGTCCCCGAGAGGCTGCTCTGGGGCTGGGAGCTGAGCTGTTTAGTAGAAGGAAGTGCTGTGCCATGTGAGTGCAGAGGTGGGGAGCTGGGCAGAGTGGAGCAGGAGCAGCTTCACTCCTCTGTAACTGGGCACAGCTGCCCTGGTGTGGGATTGTTAGGATAGGCAGTGCCTTTGCGTGTTGTTAAGCTTGCAGCCTGGTAGGGGGATGGTTGAAGGAGGCTTGTCCGCTTCCTTCTTGGGTGCAGTGGTCTCGTTTCCAGGGTTGTGCAAGCCACTGTTCCAGGGCAAGTTAAGCTATAAATGGAAGACTCGCCTTGCTGGAACTGTTGCATTGTAGAATCCAGTAGTGGTGCAGAGCATTTTCCAGTCCCAGAGCTCTTCACCAAGAGGGGAGTGGCTCTGCTAGAGAATGCAGTCAGTTATTCGACAGTGACTTTTCTCGGGGCATCATGACCTGCCCCCCTTGGCTTTAGGCCTGGAGCATCAGACTCTGCCGTGCCTGGAGAGGTGCAGACCACTCCCCATGCACTGGTCCCCTCTGCTGCAGACAGCGCCAGCAACCCTAATCCAGACTGGGCCAGGGGAGCGTGATGTGTGGATCACCGGGTTCCTGAGTTCTGCACGTCCCTTTCTTATGCGTGTGTTGGGAGCGATCCTTGCCTTGGCAGGCACAGTAGTTAGAAAATAATATTGATGTTTAAAATGGGGCTGGGGATTTAGCTCAGTGGCACCGCACCTGCCTTATAAGTACAGGGTCCTGAATTCAATCCCTGGTACCAAAAAAAAAAAAAAAAGATTTTTGCTATGCATAATTTAAAACTCAGTCCCTTTCCCCATAATTTAAATGTATTTAAGCCCAGAGCACATGATCTTAGCCCCTTTTGCTTTGCTTTAATTATTCCTTTCAAAACCCAGTTATTATTTATTTACTTGTTAGTCCCTTTTTGGCAAACAGTCTTTGTATTTTTATGTATTTTGTCATCTCCAGCAGCTTTTTCCCATAACCAACTGGTGAGGCATAGGAATTGGCTCCATGAGAAGCTTCACGATGCTCCGTAGCTTCTCCCAGGCCAGTGCTGGTTGTGCACTTTGGTGTGGCCTTGCTGCAGTGTGGCCCACAGTCACTTGTGGCATGAGAGCTTTCTGTTGGAGGTCCTGAAGGGAGAGGGACTTACTCAGAAAAGAAAGATACAAAACAGCGAGGCACAGGGGGTCAGAGCTTCAAGGAGCTAAGACAAACTGTTTTTCTCAGCCAGCTTTTAAGCAACTAGAAATGGAGTGTGTACATTCACCTACATGTCAGAACTGTGTATTTCTAAACTATTAGCAGAGTTCTCATGGGAGCAGCAAGAAATCATCTGCCAAGGACAGTAAACATCTGGGATTCTACGTGTGCGAATCTGGGAGGTTGTGTGTAACCTCATGTCACTAGGTCTTCCCAATAGCACTGGGTAACGCACTTGCATAGGCTCACCTGGCATTCACCTGTCCAGAGACAGCTCCTTCAGCTTTCTCCTGGGCTTAGGCTTTGTGTTTCTGTAGTGTGTTTCCACTGTCTCTTCCAGGGTGCATGGTCACCTGGGGAGTGGCCCTGTCTGCTTTCTCTCCAGTGGCCGCAGAAGGTAGCCCTCTCACCTCAGTGCACTGTGTCCTGGGACGTGGGCAAATTGCACTCCCTGGACTTTGCAGGCAGCTGGCCTAACACCTTCACGAGGGGCCATGCTCTATAAGTCTTGCTGCTGGGCGATTGGAGCCACTGGTGGTATGTGCATGACTATCCCCTGCATGACTGTACCACTTCTCCTACCAGGAGTTCAAGTTGTCCAATGGATCAGTCATGCACGGGCCCCTGGTGGTCCAAGCTGGTGGGAATGTGTTGAGTCAGAATGTGTTGCTAATGAGTAGATGTCTCATTTCCTGAGCACTTGCTTATTGTAGTTAAAAAGTGAGAATGATTTTCTCCCCATTAAGTTGATTGGTACATTTAAAGCAAACAGTACAGTTACATTTATCATTGGGATCTTGAATCTTGACATGATATGTCTTGGTTCTTATTTTTTCCCCCATACCTTTGCCCTCCCTTCACCCCCTAAAAATGAGAAATTTAAAAAAGTGTTTTGCAGAAGATCATTAAAGATATTTTTTCCTAAGGTTATGCTGCAGTCTAAAGTTTAATTACCATTTGTTTTTGTTTATGGTTATTTTTTGAGATGGGGTGTTGCTGTGTAGCCCAGGCTGGCCTTGAACTTGTGATCATTTTACCTCAGCTTCCCGAGTGCTGACATTGCAGGCATGGGCCACCTTTTTTGTTTTGTTTTGTTTTTTGAGACAGGGTCTCACTATGTAGTTCAGACTGACCTGGAACTTACTATGTAGCGCAGGCTGGTCTCAAACTCACAGCCATCCTCCTGTCTCAGCCACCCGAGTGCTGGGATTACAGGTGTGCGCCACTGCATCCAGCTCTAATTGCCATTCTTTTTATGTTTTTGGATACAGGGTCTCGCTTTGTATAGAAAACCCACATCTTTATCCATTTGTTGGTTGATAGAATACCTCTAGAATTGTAATGCTGGAAATAGTGAGGTATTGCTTGTGTACTGAGTAGTTTCGCCTGCGTGAAGCGTTCTGGGGCTGTGCTGCTGTGGGAGAGCAGCTATTCGGAGAGGGGGGTCCACTGCTCCTGTGCTGGCTCCTGGTGGGGTTCAGACTCTGCGATGATGATGATGCTGTGTTGGCCTTGGTCATTAAAGCCCTGGTCTAAGCTGCATAGTGAGAGGACTGCTGCTGGACATTTTCCTTTAGAATTTTTTGAAACTCGTGTGTAGAAAAGGCAGAGAGATTGACCAAAATGAGGACTTTTTCCCATTTTGTTGTTTCTGAGGTACATTGCTTAGTCTAGTGAACTGACTCTTGGTGCCAAGCATGTGGGAACCTGCATGGTGTGAGCTTGTCATGTGCAGAGTGCAGGAGTCACTCACGTCAAAGTGAGTGTGTTTGTTGCCGTGGTCTGGCTTTGCAATGCGCATTGAACCACCCTGGCTCAGTTCCTCTGCTCAGTTCTACATCTCTCACCGAACAAACGTCGTCTCCGAGAGACTTGGCTGCGTGGCACATAGCCACCGTGGACCTGTGCCCTTGCCCGAGAGGGCTCTGGGAAGCTCCAGTGGGAGTTCTTAGAGTGTGTTGCCATCCACATTCTGTCCGTGTCTCATGGGGGACAGAGGTGTGTACTGTCTGTGTGTCTCGCAATGCAAGGAGGCGTAGGTACGTGTGCTGGCCTGATGGCATCCTGGAGATTCCTTGTGCTCCATAAGGCCCACCCGGGGCATTTCCTGGCTCTCGTTCTCACTGTGCCAGGGATGGCTTTGTACAGTGCTTGGTACCAGGTGTTTACCTGGTGGTGCCGTGACAGTTACCTGCATCATAATGTTTCCATGTGAGAGGAGAATTCACAGCATTAGCACTGTGCAGAAGATGAGCTACCATGAATTCTCTCTGGTTTTCGCTTTGTATTTCAGGCTGGCCTTGAACTCACTGTGTAGCCCAGGCTGGCTTTCAACTCACGGCGATCCTCCTGCCTCAGTCTCCTAAGTGCTGGGATTACAGGCGTGCGCCCCATGCCCAGCGGGCCTCAATGAATTCTTAGGCTGCCTGTGTGTGTCAGGACTTGTATATGCAGCATTTCTTTAGGCTCTGCCTTGACTAAGGGATGCCCACAAAGCTGCCCTGATTCATGATTTCACCACAGAGTCTCTGTACTGACAGTGTTTATTCTAGGTTTTGTATGTTTGTCCTAAATAAGTGTACATAGATGTGAGTTTGCAGCGAGACAAACACCCAAGGCAGACTCAGGTGTTTGCATTGTTTGGTGATGGAGGACGTAGACTGGGCTAGGAAACACAATGGCAGAAGCACCCTTTCCTCCCTTTGTGTTTTTTGGTACTGGGGATCAAACTCAGGATCTTATGCTTGCAAGGCAGGCAGCGACACCACTGAGCTACATCCCTGGCCCCTTTCCCTCCCATTTTAACAAAAAAGTATGGAGGAGCTCTGTGAGATCACTAGTGAAGGCAGGCTGGACCTCCTCAGCACCAGGAATGCTGGGCTCTGGTGCTCGCGGCGCCCTTCCCTGGGTGTCTGATTAGCTAGCAGGAGGCAGTCGGTCCCCCATGGAGGGGGAGCCAAGGCCCTCAGGGATACCCAGAAGCCACAGTCTCCCCCAGCGCAGCGCTGCTAAACCAGAATGTGCCCAGAGCTTCTGTGGAGCCTTCTTGATAGGTTGACGGCTATTTTCCCATTGAAGTGTGTGATTGACCTGAGCGGGGCCACACCTGCAATCCCAGCCACTTGGGAGGCTGAGGTAGGCAGATCACAAATCCAAGGCCAGCAAGGTCAGTTTAGCAAGGCCCTGTCTTAGTGGAAAATAAAATTTTAAAGAGGGGTGGCTGTTAGAGGTGCAGTTCAGTGGTAGAGCATTAGGATCGACTCCAGTACTGTTTTAAAAAAGGTACGATTCGGTTGTTTTTAGCACATTCAGGGTTATGCAGCCAAGTATCTAAATTCAGTGGGTTTCCATATACCTAAAAAGAAATTCCACATGTCCCAGCAGCCGTGCCTCCCTGCCCAGCCCCGAGTCCCTGCCTGGCTTCTCCGTGGATTTGCCACTCTAGGTATTCTATACAGATGTGACCCTCCAGTCCGTACCCCTTTGTGTCTGCCTTCCTTCCCTCGTCGTGTCGTCGGAGTTCGTCCCAGTCATAGCAGTGTGAGTGCCTCCATTCCTCTTTGTGGTTGTCTGGCAATTCCACTTGCATGGATAGAACCTGTTTAGTGTATCCATTCATCTGTTCATGGCCCTTAGTGTTTCTTTTTTTCCCTTCACTAGTAATAGATTCATTTATAAATCCTTATAAAGTTAATTATCACACATACAGATTAACAGCCAGACTAATAAGCCCAAAAAACAAAAAAATTGATTAATTAAAATCAAAACCGAAAAAACCCACTTAATAGATGATGAGGTATAATTGATTAAAAATGTAAGTGTTCACATAAACAGAAAACTTGTTTTTTGCTGACTCGAAGCCAGCATTTGGTCTTCGTCTGAACCCACTTAGTGTAGCCATCTTTTTTGTTGTTGTTGTTGTTTTGTTTTTTGAGATAGGCTCTCGCTGTGCATTCCAGGCTAGCCATGAGCTCACCATGTAGCCCAGGCTGGCCTCGAACTCACAAAGATCATCCTGCCTCAGCCTCCTGAGTGCTGGGATTACAGGTGTGCACCAACATACTAGGCTACTAGTACAGCTATTTTAAAACCGTGTCTAGGTCAGAGTCGGTACCCTAAAGAGGAGGGCTTGTTAGCAGAACGATCCGGAGTTCCTTTCCGACTCTGCAGCTGAATTCGCGTGGACCTTGCTAACAGGGCATACGCCTCTGAGCCCTGATTGTGGAAGGCTGTGAGCAGCGCCCAAGCATCTGCCCTGTGCCGTGAGCTGGGGCCAACCGCTCTGCAGGTCTCTTGTCTTCTCTGAAGCAGCTTATTGCTGGTGAGCAGCAGCTCCTGGTGAAGCCTGAGCTGGTGGGACACAGCCGTGTGGCCACCCTGGTGAGCGCCTGTGTTGTGTGGACAGCGGCGAGATTGTGTGGCTGGTGTGTAGAAAAACAGGGTGAGGCCAAGGGTCTGTGAACGGGAAATCCTGGTGGGCTGGGAGCCAGTGTGCTGACAGATCCCTGTAGGTGCTGATACTGTGCTTGGTGTCGCATAGTCTTCATCCGTGGTTGAGTGACTGCTGCAGACTAGCTTCCAGGCTTCTTGACTTGTGGGTCTTGATTTTCTCATCTGTGAGATGGGAACAGGGCAATAACCATGTGGCAAGGTGGTTGTGATGAATAAAGACACATAAAGGGGTCGTACCCGGCTTGCAACCAACACTTCACAGTTAATAGCAGGAGTTAAAATGAATCAGGGACCTGGTTGCATAGGCTGCCCAAATTTGAGACTGCTACTGATGATGCCATGTGCTGTGGTTGGGTTCCACAGACTTACTAGGCTCCCTGTCTGTGGAGGGCATGGTGCCTGGGAAAGCAGGCTGAACCCCCGGGCTGCTCTGAGAAGGGACCAGGCTGTGTGCTTGTGCCGCACTGTGACTGTGCTGCTGGACGCTTTTCATCCCAAGGGTAAGCTATCCCACGGTGCGGCCGCATGTCCTGTGCCGCAGGCGCGATGGAGATTGTCCCTTTGTGCTGTGGGTGTCTCGGGCTGCCTGCTGTGGCAGTGGTAGTGTACGCCATATTTGTGTGAGGTGTAAACTTTCCATCGAGCATTTCTGTCCTGAGAGTACCCTGTTTGCACCCTGAGCCTGTGGAGACATTGGATGCAAGATACTTTGTGTGGATGTCGCTACAGCAGCCTGTAGAGGGCCCAGGTGACACTGGCTGGCAGTGTGCCCCGTGGATGGCATTCTGCACACCACCCAGACAAGCCGAAAGCTCCTGTACCCACGATGTTATACACGATATGTGTGCTTCTTGTGCCGTATGTAACCTTCTGGCTGAGTGGGACATGCTAACTTTTTAAAGACCCCACATTTAGGACTGATGGTAATTGAGAGATTCAGATTTTATGAGCTCTTTTTTTTGCGGTGGCTTAATTTTTCGAAAGGAAGATGTGGCACATTTTCATGGAAATGTTTTTTTCTCTTTTTAGTACCTAACAGAGGACTCAAAAATTTGAATCTTTTGTGTCTGATCTGATTTGGTCAGGGGAGAGACACTGTACAGGAGACCACCACAGGCATGGGCTGTGCCCCGAGGGCCCTTAGGGTCATAGGTGACCACTGGCCAACAGCCTTGGCCTCCGTTAGTAGACTGACCTGGGGTCCCCTCTGCCTGTCTTGGAATAGACGTGAAGGTACTGGTGAGTTGTTTGTGCAGAGCTCTTCCCCAAATGGTATAAAGTAATTGCTGGTACCTGGGTACTGATTGATTATTTTCAAGAGGTGTGACAACTAGCTGAAATGACAAGTACCAAACAGATTGTTCTGGCTGGAAAGGGTAATGTCACAATGCAGTTGACAGTGACACTTGTCAGTTTAAGTTTGCAGAACCAAACAAAAGTACCAGGACAAAATTTTGTCATCAAAATGCATTGAGACCCAAATTCATCAAGTTCCAAAGTGGCACCAAGGTATGACTGCATAGTGAAGTTCCCTGGGGAGGGTGCTGTCCTCTTGCCCAGAATGTGTGGGTCTCCTTCCCACCCCAGTGCTCATGGGCAGCTTCTGTGCCCTGCTGGGGCCAGTGGCTGTGCTCTGCACCCATCCTGGATGTGGCCTTGCTGCAAGGGTGGTTCTCTGCAGGCACCCAGCTGGTGCCTACAAGGGCTGATCCAGCGATCCTGTAGGTGTTACTGTGGCGTGCCCAGATCTTCTCTTCTGACCTTGTTGTTTTTATCATGAGTTTTGGCAATAAAATATGCTTAGTAATTTGTGGGTGACACAAAGCTAGGAAAGAAACCAAGTAAATTGGTTGACAGACTTGGTGTCCAGAATTATCTGCAGGGACCTGATCTGGCAAGATGGGATTTATGTAGAATGTTTTCCCCCCATAGGATGCACATAGAACAGGGTGAGCGACCTGAAAAGCTGTCTGTGCTTGTGGATAGAGGGTTAGTGAATTGTGACCCACCCATAATGCATCAGCATATGATGAAGCCATCCAAATCCTTGTGGGTCCCTTCTCATTCACTTCCCGTGGACTTTGTTGTCAAGGTGGTGGGGGGTCTGATGGTCTGAAGAGAGGGAAGAGCTGTACTCACTCCAGGTCGGGGAGGGCAGGTCCTGGGCAGCATCCTGGTGGGTGGGCACAGCACAACACTCAGTGCACATCAGCCTGGAGCACTGGAGCACTGCAGCACCTGGAGTTCTGAGGTTCTGTGCACTGACGTGTCTGTTAGGGCCCTTGGCCACCCTGCACGTGGGTTCTGAGGAAATCTGTGCAGCCTACATCACAATACATGAAGAAGTAATGAGTTATACAAACTGTGTCATCCTGATCATGGAGCTGGAGAGGTTGGGGTGGGAGGCCCTGGAGTGCTGCACAGAAGGCCCTGGGCGCCAATGCCCAGGGAGTTGAGGGCTGTGTTCCCGAGGGTCTCAGTGGTTCTAGAGCTCCTGCGCCCAGGGCATCCAGCTCAGGCTGGAGGTGCAGCTGCAACCTCCCAGACATATGTGTGTGGCAAGTGTTCCCTAACCCGAGAGCCCCTCATGGTCTCACTCACACCTGCTCTCTGGTCACAAGGGTGACATGACTGGTGAGAACCACTTAGGGCCCCTGGTTTGGAATCTCAGTAGTGACGCATTTTGTAACCTGCAGTTTCAGTTGCTATTTTATGAGCACTCTTCTGTGATGGCCAGGTATCTCTTTGTTTTTTCTTTTTTTTGAGACAGGGCCTCTCTTTATAGTGCAGCCTGGCCTTGAACTCACTCTGTAGCCCAGGCTGGGCTTGAACTCAAAGCGAGCCTCCTGTCTCAGCCTCCCAAGTGCTCGTATTATAGGCATGTGCCACCACACCTGGCTTACTTTTTCACATATTTTTATTGTCATATATTTTATGTCCATTTTGTTGATGTCTAATTATAATTTGATAAAATGTATATCTTTTGGTGTATAGTTAGTTGAGTTTCATTAGATATATTTAGCAGCACAGTGCGGTTACAGAACATTTCCATCCCCTCAGAGAATTCCATCCCGTCCTCCGGCCCTCCCTGCCCTGGGCTCAGGCCCCTGCTGTCAGCCCCAGCCTGCCCTTCCTCTGTACGTCTCACATGAACACAATCAGGCGGGCCTGCTTCTGGTCAGCGTGGTGTCTCAGGCCCACCTACACAGGTGCCTTTGTTGGTGAGGTACACTTGCTGCTCGTGTGCCATTCATCCGTGGCGGGGAGTTGGCTGTCCCAGGTGTTTTGTTTTGGTGTTTTTTGCAGTACTGGGTTCCCCATGCTGGGCTCCCATACTTTGCAATCCCCCTGTGGGAGCAGCTGGGATTACTGGCGTGCACCACTATGCTGGGCTGCCCTGGCTTTGACAGTGAGGTCTCAAGCCTCAGTCCGCGTGCACAGGCCGGCGTGGACTGTGCATTCTCTCCTGAGTCAGTGTGGAGTTGTGTCCTCCTGTGAGGAGCCAAGTGTGGCCGGACTGTGCGCGTCCCCAGCAGCCTGCCCACTGGTGCATGTGGCCAGGCTCCTCTGGTTCTAGCCTGTGTTCTCCACCGCTAGTCACATTTTTGTTGGGCATCTTCATTTATTCCTTTCTTCCATTTTTACATCTAGTGGACTTTCTATTCACCTTTGTTGACCTTGCTTTTACTGAGTCACTTACTTGCTGTGAAGATAAAATTCACGTGTGTTCTGGGTACAAACCATGTGGTAGTGTATGGAAGCAACTCTTCTAATCGCGTGCTCACTGCGCTGTTTCTGGTGGGCTGTTTTAAAGTTCTTTATTTGATGGAATGCAGTTTACTGTGTTCTACCTAAGAAAGCTTTGCTCCAAAGTCCGAGAGAGTTTCTCTTGTTTCATTCTAATAGACTTGCAGGGTAGTTGTAGCATGTGGATCAGATTAAATTGTACTCAGTAAGTTCCTAGAAGACGGAAATCAGTGTTAAAAAAGAAAAGCAACCAGAAATTAAGTGACTTCCTGTTTCCCCCCCTCCTTAATTTTAGATCAACAGGGGGTCCTTCAGGTCGGAGTGGACATCGGATGGTGGCCTGGAAGAGGCAGTTAATCCTTTTTGGTGGCTTCCATGAGAGTGCAAGGTCAGTGCCGAAAGCAGATGAGTCTTTCTCTCTGGGTGCATGTGGAGGACTATGCGTGTCCACGGGAGAGACCAGCTCACTAGGGATTTTAAATCAGATCAAGTGTCACAGTGGCGTTTAGCTTGAAACCCATTTTGAAACAGAACTTTTTTCAAAGCCTCGTTTAAAATTATTTAGGAAGTCTTTCACACACACACAACATACGGAACACTAATACACACACTGGCACTGTTGAGTTAAACTCATTTGACTTAGTACCAACTGCCTGAGTCATCCTTGAAGCACTTGTTACTTCTCTTATCTGAAGAATAGAAGTTTTTACTGGGCATCTGTAGTATGAATCCCAAGGAAAGAGGGGGAGGTTGTAGAAATTGGGATCCTCTGTGTCCCTGGTCTGTTACTTGCTGTCCCCCAAGAGGGACACGTGGGTCTGAGTGGCAGCCATGGCTCGAGTTGCTCCCTAACCCTTCATGTGGGAAGCAGCAGCCCTGGCACCACCCTTCACTGCTCCTGCATCTTGGCCCTCGCTGCGCAGTGTGGGGTACAGAGCGCAGAGCCCCACGCTAGCTCTCGTGCAGCAGCCACGGTCACACATGTGCTTCCGAGCCTGGGCATGGACCCTCAGATGGGCATGAGGAGGAGGAGTTGGCTCTGACCGGGGGTCCTTTGTCTGTGTGCACAGCTGGGGAGCAGTGTCTTGTTCTGTGATGGTCACCTAATGTAGCAGACCTCCCCGTTCCTGCCTGAGTCCTCACTGTATGCTGAACCCTCAGTCCCTGCATCCCAGGTCACTGAGTGGGGTGTGACGACAGGGCCTCTGGACTGCCTCCCTGGCTCACTGGGTTTGGGATGCAGAGGGTGGGCTTCTGTCCCTTAGCTCTGTGGGGCACCTCTGTTTGTTGCCTCTTCTCTGTCCTGTCCATGGCCGCATAGTTCTTCCCAAGCTGTAAATATCTCCATCCTCATGGTTTAGTTCCCCTGCCCGGAACAACCTGATTTAATCATTTGGGAGATGTGATCTCACCAACAAGGCAGGGAAATACAGAAAGACTTGTAGAATAAATTACTCTGCTTCTGTGGGCTGGCATTACTTCTAGTTTTTAAATGAAACTCTAGTCTGCCACTTTTCACACGAGTTTAAACCGGTAAGGTGAGAGCAGGCTCGCCCTTGATAGTGCACCTGGCAGTGGCCCTACCTTTCCCGATGCTGTCATGGTTGATGGCTTGTGCTGCTCTCTTCCGACCAGGGACTATGTGTACTACAGTGATGTGTACGCCTTCAGCCTGGACACGTTCACGTGGAGCAAGCTGTGCCCGGTGGGACCTGGGCCCACAGCCCGGTCCGGCTGCCAGATGTCTGTCACCCCCCAGGGCAGCATAGTCATCTACGGGGGCTACTCAAAGCAGGTGAGACCCAGTGTTAGGGAAGAGGGCACCTCCATATGCTGCTTTTCAGTGTCACTAGGAGTGGTGCCATCAAGGAAGTGACCCACACTAGTGTAACACAAGCAGTTCTTGCTGAACCTTGTTGGACAGAGGGTAGTGGTCGTGTGTTTATCTCGGAACATACTAATGTTTCTTGTTCCTTATTGCGCTCCATGTCCCCCAGAATGTTGCAGTGACCCACTGTGCACCTTGGGGTCTCTTTTGGAGCCCATGGACACTCACATGTGCCCCTCTGCTCCAGGCTGCGCGTAGCTTAGCTCTCTTTCCTCCTGTCTGCAAACGTGTTTTCACATCTGCACACATGCGCAGGAGCCTCTCCACATGCCGAGTTTTCTTGTCCACCCCTCATCAGCATTTTGCCAGCCAGGACACGATGGCCTGTGACAGATGAACCGCGCCTATAGAGGTTGTAAAGTCTTGTGTTTTGAAACTTGTCAAACGCATAGCTAACTCGAAGGGCTCTGCAGTGAGCGCTCCCCTGCCCCACCCAGACGCTGCTGTCCTGTTTGCCCGTCATGGCTTGACCTTGTGTCTGTGCACGTCTGCACCCAGTCCTGTCCATCAGCCTCCTGTGGTGGGAGGAGGGTGCGGAGGTCAGCAGAGGCCCCCGGTGCAGTGCGCCTTTATGTGTCCGCTGCCAGCCACACAGATGTGTGTGCGGTGTGCCCACCTCATCCTGCCGGCCTCTCCTGCGAGGCCCCTGCCTGCTCCACAGAGGCAAACGCTGTCTGACCCTTCCCGCTGTTTCCTGGACCTTTGGGCTCCGCCTGTGAGCGCCCTGCAGTCTGTCCTTTGCCCTGTTGGCGGACTCCTGTGCTGTTCCAGGCTCACTGCCAGGAGCGAGGCTGCACAGGCCTTCTCTAGTCTCACGTAGCACATCTGGCCGAGGAGCTGCCTGCCTGCGCGGGTGTGTTGGGCACAGGCTTCCAAGCTTCTGCGCCAGACATCGACGTGTTCTGGCTCCACCTTCATGTCCACGTTTGACGCCGTCCGTCTTTTTATTTTTAGCTGTTCTGGTAAATGTGTGGTTCTCTGGGCAGTCTGAATTTACATTTCTCTGTCGGCGGCCAATGTCGCCTGCTTGTTGGTGACTTGTGTGTCCCCGGCTCTCTCTGACCGGGAGTTGCAGGAGTACACACGCAGCTCCTGGATACCATCCTTCCACGTGCACTTGCAGCAAGTGCTTGTAGCAGAGCAGAAGCTCTGTGTGCACGGAGTCTCACTATGTTTTTTCTCTTGCGGCCTACTGAAGGTGCCCTCTTACATTTCCGCCTAAATGTGAGTCAGTGTCCGCTCTTACTTTGAGTTCTGTGATGCCCCTTGGACCGTTCCTGTGTGTGGTCCGTGGCCCGAGATAGGTGTGCCCTTGTTGCGGCATGGTGTTCAAAAGGCTTTCTCACTGGATGTCTTAGGACCTGTGCTGGCAGTGTGGTGACTGGAAGTAAAGGCCTGATTCTGAGTGCCCTGTCCTCTCCTTGGCTAAGTGTGCTGGTCTCAGGCCAGGACCTACTGCTGTTCTGTGCAGAGCGTCTTGGAGTTAGGCTATGAAGTCGTGCACACTTGGTGGTCTTTCAGACTCCTTGTAGCTTCTAGATTCTTTGCATTAACATCAGCCGGTCCATTTCTTTAAAAAAATAAAGTCTCCCTCCTTGTCCTCTGCTGCCTGCTGGGAATGATTGAGCTCTGCCTCAAGTCTGGAGATAAATTTGAAGTCTGACTCTTTTGAGTCTTCTAGTCCATAAATCCTAGTGAGAGCTCTGTGCTCCCTGGACGGGAATTTGACATCTTTAAAAATGCATACAGATTTTATTTACTTTCTAGTACAGTTGACTCTATCCTTGAAGACTTATGTAACTGCATGAATTTAAAGCTACTCTGATCTGCATTGCTAGAAGTAATTTGTGGCACAAGTAACCCAAAATGAAAGGATAATAAAGACACCTTTTGTTTTCCCCTTCAGAGACAAAGAGATTGAGTTTCTGGGGAAGCCCCAGCACTTGAGAGAAGAGAAGGACTCTGCCTGCATGGTGGACTTGGAAGGCTATCAGAGGGACCCTGTGGGCAGGTCAGCCCTCAGGGGCCACAGCCACTGGCCTGAGTGCAGAGTGCCCCTCTGGCCCTCGAGGCCTTGAGGGAAAGTGTGCAGATGTCTGCCAGGTATGGCAGTGCACCTGTGCCATCCAGCATGCTGGGAGGCTGAGGCAGGAACACTGCAAGTTCTGGCCCAGACTGGGTTACATGAGACCCTGACTGAAAATTTAGAAGGGGGCTGGGTGGTGACGATATAGCTCAGTGTGAAGGCCCTGAGTTCAGTGCCTAGTGCTTATTACAAAACAAACAAACAAACAAACAAAACAGAGGTGCAATGAAAGATCTCCTTTAGTCTGTTGACTCTGGGTAGAAAATGTTACTATCAGCAAATCACGGGACAGCTAACGTAGGCAGGTGCAGGTAGACGGGACGCTGCCCAGTGCAGCTGTGACTTGAGTGGAGGTATTGCTGAATTCCTTCAGCAGACAAGGCCTCTGGTCTTAGATTCACCTTTCAGTCATGCTAAGCCCTTGGGTATGGAAGAAGAGGTGCGGAAGTCATTATGACTTTGTCTGTATTAAATTCCCACAAAGAGAGACTTCAGGGTGTAACTTGGTGGATCACTAGCATGCTTGAGGCCCTGGTTTCCATTCCCAGCGCTGCAGAGAAGAGGAAAACCAGACTCTGAACTCAGTGACTGTGTATTGTGTGCAGAAATGGCATCACCTGAATGGCACAGATGTTTCCAGAAGGCGAACAAAAGTGTGTGCCCCATCTCCCTTCTGTGAGGCTCCGGCTGCTGCTCACGCATGGCTGAAGTTGGGCCTCCTTGGCTTTGTGTACTTGGGCCCAGGCAGACGTAAGTGTCTGTGGACAGTTGGATTGCTTATTTACTTGTTCAGAAGCAAAATAGTTTTCCCCCCTTCCAGTGCCCAGAGTACTAATAGTGACAAGAACTCCACTTGCACCAGAGTCCAGGCCTGGGTTTTTCACACTGCATTCTGGCATGTGGAGCCAGGGCCCCCTTTCAACCACGGGAGCCTCAAGTGTCTTACAGTGCCATGGGTATGGATGTGCTCGCCAAGCAACACAAGCCTGCCATGTTGGGACAGATAGTGCTCCCAGTGGCCAGAACCAGATGGCACAGGCAGCAGCGCTCTGCCCATAGTGCAGAGTGCGCTCTCAGAGCCGCACTGAGCAACAAGTAAACAGGATGGGGAGGCAGTCTGCCTTGAAGCAGAAGCTCCAGCCCAGGAGGTGGCGCACACGACCCACTCCCAAAGCCCTGCTAGGCACATGGTGTCCTGGAGAGCACAGGATGGAAAGGAAATAGATCGTGACTTCCCAGGCAGGAACTGACTGGCAGCTCAGCCAGGTGACCAGGGCCATCAGAGGGACGGTTGCAGTGACAGTGAGGAGCAAGTGCAGTGCACCGCGAGCCCACAGGAGATAGGAGCAGGCCGGCTGTGGGTGCAGGAGCTCTGTACCACCTCTCGGCTTTTCCGAAAATGCAAAGCCTCTGAAATCAAAAGCACGCCAGGGACAGGGAATTCGGTGCAGATACATACCGGAAAGAAGGCAGGGTAAGCATCTTCCTGAGCAGCTCACCAGGTACTGGGATGCTGCGAAGAGATGGGGTGCGCTGTGGCCTGGGCCTTGTAGCAGTGGCTGGGTGGGGAGTGAGGCGAGGGGAGCCGAGGCTGAGGATTGAGACAAGGCTTAGCATTGGTGCTGTCGGCATGGTTTTCCGCACAGCGCTGTCATGGTTGCACTGAAAGGTGGGGTTGTGGCACATAGGAGTTGGGGTGAGGTGTGCAGCACCGTGCCGGCTGGCGTGGAAGCCTCAGGACGCTGCAGTGCTGCTCCTGTGGTCAGTCTGCAGTGATGGGCTTTCATGGCGCATGTCTGTCGGCAGTGGCAGGCCTGAAGGGACCAAGGCTAACTTTATGCTGAGCGCTACCCCTAATGTACCCCAGCTCTGGGGCTCCTGTGGCTGTGTCAGTGCCACTGAGTGGTTCTCACCGACCTTTTTGCTTTTACAGAGAGTCAGGAAAGATGTGGACAGAGGCACCCAGCACTCCGATATGTTTCTGCTGAAGCATGAGGAAGGGGGAGAAGGTACTGTACTGGCCATGAGGCCCGGCTGCCTGGCTCTGGGCAGAGGACAGCAGCGAAGCGTATGCTTGCCTGCTACAGAAATGGGGCTGGCAGGGAGCCCCTGCACAGTGCCCAGAGCTGGGGGCACGGCCAAGGTGCCTTGTCTGTGATCGTGCCTTGAGTGTGTCTCTGCTCTCCGCAGCTCAAGTCACCTTGCACACTTGATGACACAGCTCGTGTCCCTGGGTGAGGTCATGGAAGGCCCTTCTGGGCACCTGTGGGCTCTCAAGGCCCACAGGGTGTGGAAGAAGTAGGCCAAGGTGAGAGAAGGGAAGGAGGGGGCTTCTGCTTTGCAGTCATTTCTGGACCTTTTAAAGAAGTCCTGTTTGCCTGTTTTAAATGATGCTAGCGATTGAACTCAGGGGCTTCCCACCAAAATATACCCCCCAACCCCCCCCTTTTAAATTTAATTTATTGGTACATTCTAGGTAGACAGTACAGTTACATTCATTACTGAGATCTTGTACCTTTACATGCCAGGTCTTGGTTCTCATTTTAACCCCTTTTTATTTTTAATTTTGAGATAGAGTTTTGGTAAATTGTCCTGTCTGGGCTTGAACTTGTGATCCTTCTGCCTCACCCTTCCAGAATGCTGGGATTACAGGCATGAACTACTGTGCCTGGTAAAGTCTTTTCTTTATTCTGTAAATAGTGGGAAGATTTTCCCCTGTACTTCACACCAGGCCACATAAATCACTGTCCCACCAGAACAGAGTACGTCTTGCCAGCAGAGGAGCTGGTGCCGGCCATGTGGGTCTAGATCTGGGCTGGCATGAAATAGCCCTGGGAGGGAGGGTGTGACCTCACGCGAGGCCACCCCACCCCCCAGTGTGCGTGCCAGTCCTTCAGCCTGGGGTCCTGCAGCCGCAGCCTCCTGTGTCTCTTTCACACTGCCTTACAGGCACTCTCACGGTGGCTCTTAGTGCCAGGGCCTGGGCAGGGTTGCTCGTGCAGCTGGGCCGGGAAGCGGGTGAGCTCAAGGGAGTGTGAAGCTGTAACTGCTTTGTTTCTCTGCAGAGGGAGCAGAAGAGGGTACATGGGCTATTTCCGCCTGAGGGGCCCCAGGGGCCTCAGCATGTCCCAGTCTAGCTCTTGTGTCCCCTCTGCTTCCTTACCTGTCTCCTTGTTCTGCTTCGACAGGCAGATGGGTGTGGACCCGGATCCACCCGTCAGGGGTCAAGCCCTCGCCCAGGTCTGGCTTTGCAGTGGCTGTGGCCCCCAATCATCAGATACTGCTGTTTGGGGGTGTCTGTGACACAGAAGAGGAAGAGAGCCTGGAGGGCGTGTTCTTCAATGACCTGTTCTTCTATGATGCCACCAGGAACCGCTGGTTCACAGGGCAGCTGAAGGTGGGCTCAGCACCAGTCGTCCACCCAGAACATAGCTCTGGAGTCCATACTCCTTGTGCCCTCACGTGTCCCCATTCCCTTCTTCCCAGTGAGGTGTCCACACACGCTCCTGCAAAGTGGCATCCTTGCTTCTGTGTGTTGCCCAGGCGACAGCTTGGAGCCCTCAGCCCAACCTGGTACCCACTGACTGCTTGGTGGTCCCTGACCAGGATGGGGGATGTCTGCTTAACAAGGCTGTGCTGTGTCCCAAGCTTGTCCCAGGTTTCCTGTCAGGCAACTGCTACCCAGGATCTGCCCAGCATAGGCCGAACAGTGGGTAGCAGTCCCAGGAGGGGACCTCAGTCAGCCTCAGGGTCTGCATGTGTTGGGTGAGCTGGCTCCGGGCATGTCCCCCGCTCAGGCCTGTTGCAGACTCGGGCTCCTGTCACAGGGTCTCCAAGCCAGTGGGAGCGCAAGGTATCTGGATTGCTCAGGGCCTGACATCAGGAGGAGCACAGCAGCAGAGGCCACAGCCTCTCCTCTGTGGCTCCCTGGAGCACTGAGCCCAGATGAAGTGTGGTAGTACTGTTCTCAGACTGCTTGGTGCTTCTCAAGAGGACGGGGACCGGAAAGCTTTCTTGTGAGGTTGGTTGTTGTGTCCTGGGTATGGAGTAGAGCTCGGTGTCTAGAGTGCAGGTCTGACTTGGGCAGGCCTGGAGGTAGTGGTTGGGTTGTTTGAGTATAACGTGGCAAATGTTGTCTTGTGAGGGTTCTGTTCTGTGAGAAACCACAGAGAGAGCTGAAGGGTCCAGGAGAACTGACTGACTGTAAGGGAACAGTGACGCTCAACAACTAGGCCACACACACCGAGAGGTCCGACTGGAGACTTTATTCAAGGGGTGGGGGTAGAGAGAGAGGAGGAGGAAGAAGAGAAGAGAAGAAAGGAAGGTCCTTTTATCAGTTTTGGGCTAGGCTATTGATTTTTAATGAGGAGTGAGCTACTTCTAACCTATCACAGGCCAGATTGCCTTTTATGGGTCCAGCCCTGCAGACACAGGTTTCAACTTCTCTGGACCACTGTCGCCTTGGCGGGAGGGAAACCAGAGATAAGGGCATGAGGTCATTTTAGGAGCCAAGATGTACCAGGAGAATGCAGCCTGTGAGGCGGTGTCACAGCGTCCTTTAACACCATCAATTCCCTAACACTGACCGTGCCAGGAAGATGGGACAGAGATGGGGGACAGTGGTCCTGAGGGGAGGCTGGCAGAAGGACTCTGGGGTTGAGGGCCCTGCCCGGCGCTGCACTGTGAGTTATCCTGTTCTGGTCTGCTCTGTCCTTGGCAGAAGACAGGGTCCAGGAAGCGCTGGTTTTGTGGCCTTTTAGGGAGAAGCGCTCCCCGAAAGTGAGCCAGCATGCATACTGGGCCTCAGCCAGGCCTTGTCGTGCCACGTCTCTCCCTGTGTGGGGTTCGCTAGCCCACACCGAAGAGCCTGGCGGGGACCTGCTCCTGTCCCCACAGGCGCATAGTGGCACTCGGGGTGGCACCGCCCCTGCTCTGTTCTTCAGCCTGGGTTCTGAGCACTTGTTCTGTTACCAGGGGCCCAAGTTGGAGAAGAAGAGACGGAGGCGGGGTGGGGCAGAGGAGCACACGGATGCCGACGGGCATGAGCATGGGCCAGCAGGTGCCCCGGAGCCGCTGGAGGTGGTCAAAGAAGTGGTGGCCGAGGATGGGACTATAGTTACCATTAAGCAAGTGCTCAGGGCCCCGAGCCCCGTGGGGCCGTCCCCATCCAAGGACGAGGATGGAGTGTTGGAGTCCAGCAGCCCCAGGATTGAGCCGTGCCCGCGCTCCAGTGCTATGGTGGCCGTCAAGCACGGGCTGCTCTTCGTCTACGGTGGAATGTTTGAGGCTGGCGACCGCCAGGTGACACTCAACGACCTGTACTGCCTTGACCTGCACAGGATGGAGGAGTGGAAGGCCTTGGTGGAGATGGACCCAAGTAAGTGGGGTGGGGTGGGGTGTCCCTGACTTTGGGCTGCTGGGCTCCCCTCAACTGTGCCAGTGAGCCTCCAGGGCTTTTTCTGCCTCTGGGCCACTCTGAGAAGAGCAGGACCTGGGGGTAGTGAGGGCCTGATGATGGCCCAGGATCCAGGCTCCTGGGTGGGACCAGCCACACATGTATCTCCCTGACTTCAGATCAGGCAGGGCTCGCTCCTCCCGGATCCTGCTATGGAGCCTCTGGCCAACCTGGCTCTTTTTTTCCCAGTACTGGGGCTTGAACTCAAGACCTTGGGCTTGCAAGGCAGGCTCGGCACCACTGAGCTAAATCCCCAGCCCTGGCTCCTCTTTTTTTTTTGTCTTGAGACAGGCTCTCGCTGTGTAGTTCAGGCTGTCCTTGAACTTAGCGTGTAGGCCTCACACTTGCAGTGATTCTCCTGCCTGAGCTCTTGAATGCTGAGATTGCAGGTGTGCGGCACTATGCCCAGCCTAGCTTCTCTCTGACCTAGACTTCCTCTGCTCTCTGAGCCTTGCACTCTCATTTACCCATCTGCCATTACTAATTTTTGTAAAAATGGAAAGCAGAACATGGATGCTTAGGAAGAGGCTCAAAGCTGTGTGTGTCTCCTGAGAACCATGGCCAGGTGCTGGACTGACGCCGGCTTGGGAAGAAGTGGCCTCCAGCATGCTGCTGATGCCCGAGGGGAGCTTGGCTGTGTCTCTGCCTTCCAAGCCTCACCCTGTCTCAGCTCTGAGGAGACCCAGTCTGGTTTCTTACCTGTTCCAGGGGTCATGCAGGGAAGTTAGGGCTCACATTCCAGTCAGAGTGAGGGGCAGGGTCCTCTGTCTGCAGGCTCTCTGCCCCCAGGCCGCAGTGATGATCTGTGTCCATTTTGCCTTGGAAGAGACCCAAGAGTGGTTGGAGGAGACGGACTCAGAGGAGGACAGCAGCTCGGCCAAGGGTCCAGAGGGGGGAGATGATGACCAGGATGAGGACAGCGAGGAGAGTGAGGAGGAGGAGGAAGAGGAAGAAGAAGGTGAGTTTTCATCAGAACTTGCCGGGTGAATGTGGTTCTGAGCAGATGGCAGTTCCTGGTGTGGTTTGGACGGCTTGCTGCGGACAGCGGCACCGTGAGACCTCTCTGGAGTCCTGTGTTCCTTCCCTCTGTGTTGAGTGTCTCTCATTGCCCTTTTCTGGACGGAAGGAGCCACGGCACCCAGAGGTGGCACCTGGGCAGCAGTGTGAGGACTACCTGCCCAGGACAGAGCAGCACTGGCTGAAGCTCACTCGCGACAGCAAAGAAGGGAAGGCACCAGAGGCAGCCCAGGCTGTGGCGAGGACTTTCTTTGATGATTCAGTTCAAGGCACTGGAGGGGCCAGCAGTGAGGTCGCAGGGCAGTGAATTCCCTTCTTGCTGTTGAGCGTCACTCACCATGGGTCTCGGTCTGGCAGAGCCTCTGCCCTGTCCCGTCTGTGTCAGGGTGGGCTTAGGGTGAGAGCGCCCTCTTGGAGGGCCCAGAAAGCCTGTTGCTCTTCTAATAAAGCAACTCTTGTGTGCTGTGTCACCTTTAAAGCAGTACCTGTCCACGTGGCTTGGCTTAGTTTGCTCTGAGGATCTCTTGGCAAAAAGTTTTGGATGTTTTCGTGTCTACCTCTTCCTTGTGGCCTTCTTGGGAAGGACCTGGTGGAGATTATGGTTTGCAAAATGACAGAGGAAGGGGAGCTGGAGAGCCATGGCTCCTGGCGGCCCCTCAGTGTCCAGCACTGCTGGCTGCGGGGCTGGGTGCACTTTGTGGGAGTCTGGTGTCCTGAGCATGGGCCGGTGCCTGCTCCAAGTTGATGATGGAGATCAGTTTGTACTTTGCATAGTTGGAATGAAAGTTGGCCTTTCAGTTGCTGCTGGTGCAGGTTCCCCTTCATCCTGATTATCTTAACGGTGAGAATGTGGCACTTACAGCTTTCTGCTGCTTGGTGTAACCCTGTGCCTCCTGTCACCACCCTGGAGCTAACAAAAGCTGGGAACACCTGACAGAGCAGGGCCGTGGCTGTGCAAGCTGTGGTGGGCAGGAAGGGGTGGGGCCTCCTTGGCCAGAAACAGCCACATCCTTCCCCAACTGTTGTCTCAGCAGTGCCTCAGCCCCAAGAAAATCAGGATCCCTTGGAGCGGAGCCGCCCAGGTTTGGGCTTGGAAGAAGGAGACGCAGCTGTCAGCAAGACTGGACAGTGTGTGTCTTGGTGGGCAGAGGGAGAGCTGGCCTGAGGGACCGCCCCAGCGCCAGCCCTCACTTAACTTTGCCCGTGGCACGGTAGAGTGCTCAGGTGTCAGAAAGCTGGGGGTCCAGCCCCAGGCACAGCACCTGCCTGCCTGCAGTGCCAAATCTGCACCCTCATGTGGAGCTGTGGGGAAAGGTTCTCGTGCCACTAGGCCAGGTGGTCCCTGGGGACACTTGTGTTGTGAGGGTGAGTTGGCTGCACTGGGAGCATCCGGTGTCCAGGCAGTGTGTGGCTGGTGTCCAGGATGAAGCGCAGCGGCCTGTGTGCCGTGAGAGCCACCCTTGGGCGCCCCCGGCTCCAGGGCTGGTGTCACTGAGCCCTCCTGCCTGTCTGCCTATGTCACCCCTTGCTCCTGGGAACAGCCGTGTGCCTGATGGCACAGGGGTAGCCCCTGGCCCCTGGCAGGCTGTGTGGAGTATGAGTGGCTCCTGCCCACTTCCCAGGAGCACCTGAGCTGGCCCTGTGGCTGTGCTGCATTACAGTGAGTTTATGGGGCCCATTGCAGGCATTGAATTTCTTTGGGTTGGTTGGATTGGAGAATAATTAAGAGAACTACCAGTTAAGCTTGGAAATCCTGTTTTGTTTTGTTGTCCCCCCTCTCTTAGGTGTAACAGTGGTATTTATTCCATTTGAAAGCTGATTTTTTTTTTAAACTGAAGTGCGGAGGAGGGCCATAGGTAGGTGACAGTTAGAAATATTTCCAGGACCACTACTGGAAGCCGCCTCCCCCATGGAAATGGAGCCAGTTCATGTCAGAGTCAGGTGACCAGACACAGCCCACAGCCATGCTGGGGAGTGACCCCTCAATAGTGTGCTCCCATGAGGTGACAGAGGAGTTGCCTAGGGAGAAGACTGTTCCCTCGCAGGATGGTGACTGGCCCAGGGCCGGTGAGCGTGTCGTTAGGCTGTCACTCTAGTCAGGTCCCGGGCCTGCTGTGGCGGCTTGTGTGGGGACCATGTGAGTGGACACCTGTGGCCAGCTCAGACAGGACCCGACAGTTCCTAAGACCGGTCACTGCTGCTTCCCCAGATCTGACCAGGGAATCCCAGAGGGCACACACAGAGACCGTGGCAGCGGGTGGCCACAGTTTAAGGTACCACAGTGGTCACGGCATCCCTGAGTCCACCTCGAGCCCATCGTGTCCCTCATCCCCCGCTGGCCTGTGAGCTGCTGGGAAAGTTCCTGGGCTCTGCCTGGGAGGACTGAGCCGTCACGCTGTGGAAAACAGAAGTGGGAGGGGAGGATATCACACTGCAAGATCCATCCCCATGCCCCATGCACAGTGTGTGGGCTGTGGCCGGGCCCTGGGAGACTGACAGCCTGCCGTGCAGCCTCACTGCACAGGTGTCAGGCTGACCACCTGTGTGAATGAACTCACCATACGAAAACGCCGGCCTGGGGCATTCATTTCAGAGCTGTGTTCACCGCACGTCTCCTGCTCAAAAGGTAGCCTCCTGCATAGTTAGGACAGGCTCTGCGCCCTACTGAGGGGCCTGGTTTTCTCCACCCTGCACCTAGGCAGCAGAAGGGACTTCAGGTACAGGCACTGCTTTAGAAGGAGGTGACACGGGTTTTCCGTAGTTTCAAAGGACATTTATTACTGAAAGGAGCAAGCTGTCTTTAATCTTAGCAGTGTCCCTTGCTTTCAGATGGTGACATACATAGTGATATTTATCTGAACAGTTACATTCATCAGAGAAGGTTACTGTTTCCAGTGTGTAATTAACCAAGCCATTTCCAGCTGAAACGAGGCCAAGGGGAACTTTAGCCACCTTTTCCATAGGAACAATCGGTACATAGCGGGCATTTCCTTCCCAGTCACGCACCAGGGGAAAACATGGAGGAGCCGCAGGTGACAGGCCAGCATTCACTGAGCACTGTCTGCGCAGGGCTCATGGGTTCCCTGTCAGGCTGTAGGGCAGTGTTTCTTTGAAAACCGTGAGTGGTGCAGATGGGCAGAGTCCACCTAAAGCAGTTGGGGTCCACTTTGTGGAAGGGAGGAGCAGTAGGCCAGGGTCAGGTACGCCACCCATGGGTACATGATGGCACCGGCCCTGATCCCACATGTGGGCCAGGGTCGGGCAGCCTACAGATGCTCCAGAAGCCAGGTTTCATCTGGCCCATGTCCGAGCAGCTAGGGCTCCTGGACAGCGTGGCGGTGCCCTGCACCACTCCACTGTGCCTCATGCCACTCCTCCCTGCCCCCCTGAGCCTGGTGCCTGAGGAACCACCCTAGAGCACAGAGCCCAGCCCACCTTGCCAACCAGTGTCTGCCTTGTGAACCTGGGTTGGTATGGGAGCCTTTTGCTGAAAGCGAGCTGTCTCCTGATTGAAAATGATAATGTTGAGCTGGGTGTGGTTGTGCACGCCTGTAATTCCAGCATTCGGGAGGCTGAGGCAGGAGGATCGCTCACTGTGAGTTCAAGACCAGCCTGGGCTACACAGTGAGTTCCAGGTCAGTCTCAACTACACAGTGAGACCCTGTCTCAAAAAACCAGGAAGAAAAAAAGATAATGTTGAAAGCTAGGCGTGGTGGCGCGAGTCTGTAGTCCCAGCACTAAAGAGGCTGAGTGAGACAGGAAGATCATTATGAGTTTGAGGCCAGCCTGGGCTACACAGTGAGACCTTGTCTCAAACAAAAAGACATGGGGAAAAGGGAGTGAAGCCTGGGCATGAGCTCAGTAGTGGTGAGATGCTCACAGCACCCACAGACGGCATTTGTCTGCACAGGGTGCCCTGCAGCCAGCCTTGGGGAACACCAAGGACAGACACTGGCTGCTCTGAGCAGCAGCCTGGGTGCTGGCATGACTGCCACAGCCAGGCAGAGTCAGGATGGGTAGTGTGCTGTGCCAGCGGGTGCCACCAGCAGGATACCCACTCAGCCCCAGGGGGTGAGGAAGATGCCCCAGTCTGGGCTGCAGCTGTCACCAAGCCAGGGAAGCAGAGCTGGAGACCTGAGGCCCCATGCAGCAGGAGACAGTAGTCGGGCACGCACACAGGACACTGGGCTTGAGCGCCTGTGTGAGGGCAGTCTGCCTTGGGCTGGGCCAGGATGAGGTAGGTGTACAGGCTGCTGCTTGCTGCTGTGCCTGCTCTGCCGTGCCTGGGCCCCAACTCACTGGGCGTACAGCCAGTTCAGCCCCACTGCGGCAGGGCTGGCTGCCCCTCGGGTCAGGAAGAGGCGGGAACAAGATGTTGCCCACTCCTCTCAGCCTTCCACGTTGGATTTCACGAGTGCACGAACTCCGGAACCAGCATTTGTGGGGAGACAGCCATACTCTGGGGTGCTCTCGTGCAGTCCTGCTCAGCACCAGGTGGCGGCCACACAGGTTTCCTGCCTGCATCAGCGCAGGTGCCCGTGTCCCGAAGCCGCTTTAGCTGGAAGGGCTGCAGGTGTCAGCCTGCAGGCCTGGACTGCCTGCTTCTGCACTCCGCCCTGTTCCCAAGGCCCTCACACCTTCAGGCGTAGGGCTGCACTGGGAAGATGCAGCTTAGCTGTTTTATTCTTTAAGGCTGAGTGAACAACACTTCATGGCACTTGGGGACAGATTGTTTTCTGTCTTTGCTGACTGACTGCATTGCCTGTAGCAGCCAGGCCTGGACCAGAGAAGGAACCTGAGTAGACCCCCGCGCTGGCCAGGGCCAGCCTTCCTCCTTCTGGCAGAAGGTGCAGTCCTGTCCTGGGCGACAGTGAGACCCCTGAATGGCACGACTTGCCGTGTTCACTCCGTGTCCTGGGGCACAGAGACTTCATCAGCTGTCCTGTCGTGGAGCTGTGCAGAGAGATGTTTTAAATTCTAGTAGGCACCTTTATGCTGAATTTCTAAAACCAAAGGCAAGCCAAGTTGGACGAGACCTGTGAAGACTCTGTGAAGCCAAGCTTACTGCAGAAGGGAACGTCACCCTTCAGTTGGCTTGAGCAGTGTTTGGTTGCACATATGAAGGGGAACATGCAGCCATCCATGGGAAGCCTTGGGGCAGATCGTTGGCCCTGGATGTGTGACCCTGGCCTGGTCCCCGTCGGGCTGCAGCGCTCTCAGCATCTGGGAGGTGGCTGTGGGCGGCCAGCTGCAGGTCCAAGTGGAAATGGTCGCACCTGGAGGAGGACCTGTGCTGATCAGCTGTTTGGAAATCTTTAAAGGACAGCAAAAAAGAACAACGTACCCTCAAAAAAGAAACATGTTTTGTGTATCCCCCAAGTACTCATCTGGCACCCGCAGCACTCGGGCTCGGGGTTCAGCACCCAGGGGCTTCCGCAGGAGCTCCATCTTTATGTGGGGTGGCCGTGTGCCTGACACAGGGCTGAAGCCAGGACGCACGGCTGTCCCGCTGCACCCTGGGAACCCACAGGGCCTGAGGGAGGCCAGGCCAGGAGAACAACCGTGGCCCTGCTCAGTGCCCGTGAGGAAGAGCCCCTTCCACCTCGCACATGGAGTTAGGAGAGAAGAGGCTTCCTGACAGCTAACTTTGACTGGGGGATAGCTGGCCAGAAGGTCTGTCTCTGAGCCTCCTTCCCTGCGGCGGTCTGTGTTGCATAGTGGCAGTTTCTATATCAAAATCTTCCTTATCAATTATTTTGGGCTCTGGTACCTGCCTGATCTGTGTCTTTGAGAGTCCACTCTGCTAATGAATTTGGAATGCAAAAGAATGCATATATATTTTTCAGTTGCCTAAAGTTGTCCAAGCACATTGTCTGCATTGACAACTCCAGAAGGCACAAGGAAACCCCAGATGCGGGGACTCTGACTTTTGGTAAGGGACACAGCCAAGCTGCTGGCCCAGAGTGCCTCTCCTGCCTCTTCACGGCAGATTTCTGGGAAGTGAGCTGGTCCCCACCCCATGGGGCCTGGGTGGGATCTTGGCACAGTCACTGAATTTCTCTCTGCTTCTGGTTTTCACATCTGGAGCATGAAAACAGTTGGTGAGGGCAGGAAGTGGTCCGGATGCGGCTGCTCTGGTCTGTTAGAACTGGTCAGCTGCTCTGAGCCTAGGAGCCACCCCGCCTTACCTGCTGCTGCCCTCTTGCTCCACATCATGGATTTCCAAGTCCTGTGGCAGGGAGGCAGGCTCTGGACAGACGGAAATGCCTGCTGGCTGCAGCAGGATGCTGTCTGACTGTCCCATGTGGAAGCCAGCTCCGTGTGCTTTGTGGAGCGCCTCACAGCCGGGTGTTTTGGTCTTGAGCAGATCCACTCCACTCCCCGTGTCGGGAAGATGGCTGCGTCCTCACACTGTTCAGTCACCTGGGCAAGAAGCCACTGGTGGTGCTTCGGAGAGTATGCATTCCCGGCACTGTGCTGTGCACGTCACCTGAGGCCACCTGTACCTGCAGCAGATGGTACCCGCGTGTGTCAGACCTTAGGGGTACACAGGTCTGGGATCTCTATAGTTTCACGCAGGCGTACAAAACACATATCCCACTTGATGGTTCTTAGGGCTACAAAGAGCAGGAATCTTTATTTGGTTCACTTCAAGTCTGCAGCAACCAACTTGTTATTAAAAAAGAGGAACGGAAAGTAAGATGTACAAAAAGATGTAATATCCCTTTAAAAAGCAACATTATCAGAACTGTACTGTTTCATCTCCTGAGCCTCCCTCCCTCTCTGTCGCCTAAACCAAACCATGAGAAGGAACAGGGAGTGAATGGATAACGGAAAACAATAAAACTGAATGTAACTGGAACATGCTCTAATCTTTAGTTTATTTCTGGTTAAAAATATAGCAATCCAGTGCAGTGTAGTAAAGAAATCTGCTCGAAAGGTAGCAGAGAGACAGCTAAACATAAGCAAAGCAAGGCAGAGTCCATGAGACGGGCTGTACCCAAGAAGACTGATGGGAAGTCACATCCAGGGCCTCCTCAGGCAGGAGCGCAGGGGTCCTGCGTGCAGACTCACCTGGACCGCCCCTGGCAGGTCTGTGCACGCAAGAGCTGGGGCCACGGGCCCCATGCACCCCAGGAGGGAGGCAGAAACAGAAGGGACCTGTTTGTGTCTGACTGGACTGAGTTACATCACACGCCTGGGGAGGTGCTGGATATGCAACGGTTTCTGGGAATTTCAAGCCACTGGGCTTCAGTGGCTTTCCTGTCCCAGGCCTAGACCCGCTCTGGAGTAGCACTGAGGCATCTGGAGGGAATATGCATATCTGGTAGGGGAAGTTGAGGCAGGCACAGTAAAAAGATGTGAGAACCCGTGGAGGTCAGTAACAGCCAGAGGTGGCATCCCATATGGGGCGTCACTGCCAGGGACACAGAAGCCTGAATATACATCCTGCATACTAAGTGCAAAAATGCCACATGCTCAGAGCCCAGGTGTGGTGTCAGACCGTCCTCGGTCAGCCCCTGGACGTCTGCAGCACAGCCTCCCTGGGTCTGGGGGAGGGTGGCTGGACAGGGCAAACAATGAGTGAGCGAGGATGGGAGGAATAAGGACTTTGCTTTAAGACTCGTGTGGGGCAGTGCCGAGGAGGTGGGGGTCGTGGTCTGTTTCTTGGGGCGGAGAGAGAGGCATGGCCCTTCCCCCCCTTCACTGTGCAGCACAGATTTAAAGTAGAAAGGGCTAGGCTGGGACCCCTGCTTCCTGCGCCTCCCACCCCAGCGTGTCACCAGCTGTTCCAGAACGTCGCACGTCTCCCTGCGCCTGGCCAGCTGGGCTGTCCCAAGGCCGCCACCTCCCACCTCCCCGACTGGAAGTGTGAGCACGGCAACGCCGTAACAACATTCTTTTTGCTGCTGGTTTGCCGGGATTCCTTCTCCACATCAAGCTGGAAGGTCGGCGTGCTGGCCTCCTCCTGCCATGCCACACAGCGTAGTGTTATACAAGCAAAGAATTTTGGCTAAAATCCAAAAAACATTACCCAGAAAAAAAGGCAAACTGTGAGTAATACCCAATCATGTTGTTCTTCTGTGAAAAGACTTGGAAGTTGTGGGGCTGTCCAAGTTAGGGTCATTCCCTTTTTGTTGTTTTGCTTTTAACGGCCTTCTGTACACCGTTACTTTTGCAATCCAGACAATCATATCAGATGAAAAAGTTAATAAACAAAATGGCAACTCCAATGTTGAGCAGGATCACCATGACGACCAGAATGGGAGCCGAGCCCTGGAACAGAAGGGAGAGCAGAGATGAGAGTGGCCGCCGCATGCCACCCACCCCATCCCGACCAGACCGGATGCTGCGAGGGCTGGAGGATGAGTCGGGAGCAGCAGCTTGTAATTCTGCGGTCACAGGTGGTGGGACGGCTCTGAGGGCCTTGGCCAGCTTCCCAGTGCCCTGGGCAAGAACCCAAGTCCCTAAACACCCAGCACCAGCTTTACCTGCCAGACAAAAAGGCTCCTCCAGTGGAACTGGGTGTCCGCACCTAGTTGTTTCTCAGATGCCGCCCCATCCCCTGCACCAGACATCAGTCGTGACCCAGAGACATGGCAGGAGTGGCCATAAAAGCACCTCCTGTGAACTTACTCCTCCAGCCACCCTCCGGGAGCGCGTCTGTACTCTCCGTGCTGGCTTCCTGTCTGGCAGATTGTTCCCGATTGCCGCATGCCAGGCTCAGAGCCCAGGGCCTGGTCCCTCCCCAGGACTGCCCTCTGCAGTGATAATCTGCAGACGCCTAAGTGTTGCCACACTAGGCAGGGACAGAGCTACTCGGAGGGGGACCTTGGCAGAGCCGTCCTGAGACCAGGTGACACTCCAGTGCCACTTTGGGGTGGCCGCCTCCCGGAGAGGCCTGGCCCAAGAATGGAAGATGCCAGCAGGCCACACCCTTGCCTGGGGCCACAAGCAGGCACTGACCTGGAAAGGCTGGGCATCCTTTCCAGCACTGCTCCCAGCCTGCCCACAGCCATGAGGCACCTGGAAAGGACGTCCCTCCCTCCCTCTCTCCCACCCCTACCGACTGTAGAGGAGCCACGCATGTGCTTCTACCCAGGCCAGCTGCAGCATATGCCAAGCAGGGGAACTCCAGGAGTGCCCAGGAGCAGAGATCCTGCTACGGTGAGAGCGAGGCCTTGGCCTAAAGGCCACTTCCTGCTACCCCCACCCCTCTGCTCAGAGGCTGGCTCTCCCAGGCTGAGCAGTCCCCAGAAGTGCCTTCCTACAAGGGAGACACCTGCTCCTGAGCCCACCCAGCTCCTCCCTCTCAGGTGAGAGTGGAACAGCTCATTTCCCCCAAAGGGCCATCAAAATCACTACATGACCGGCGGTGCCACTCCTACACATCACCCCTCCCCGCCCAAGCCACATCCACTCAAGAGCTTGTGCGTAGATGCTCATAGCAGCCTGAAAGTGGAAACCTAGTATCCAAAAACAACGAGTGGGTAAGGAAAACGTTCCCACACAGTGGAAGGTCGCTTGTCTGGGACGAGGAACGAGGCCCTGGCTTTGGAAGACACAGCACCAAGTGGGGGAAGCCAGAAAGAGGCCACTTACTGTGTGAGCCCTTGGACACTAATTGTCCAGAAGAGACACATCCACAGACACAGCTGATGCCAGGCTGGGGCTATGGGGGTCTTCTGAGGTGATGAGAGTGGAATCAGTGTTTGCACAGCTCTCAATATGCTAAAACCACTGAATTGCACCTTCAGAAAGGTGATGTGCGTGCTACATGAACTGTCGGTAAAACTGGCCAGGAGAGCAGGTGTGCCCAGAGCGAGGGGCAGCTTCCCAGGCAGGAGCACATTCCAGACCCTGGGGAGCATTACCGGAAGCCCTGGGCCCTGGGGAGTCTGCAGGTGACCCTGGGTGTTCTCCATGCCCAGTGAGAGTTGGCCCACAATGCCTACACTCTGCAGATCTGTGTCCCCTGTCAAGTGTCCTTCCTTAGTGACACCTGCACATCGCACTTGCCGAGCACCCTGGGAGTGCAATGGTTACGCAGTTTTTCACATGGAACTCCGTAATTGGTGATGACTGAATATTCAGAGGTGGGCCTCAGCCTCCACACCACGGAGAGCTGAACCAGGCCTGCCTGGGCTGTGCTGTGTACCCCCAGTGCAGGTACCCCTGTCTGCTGGCCACCTGCATGTGCCTTCCCCAGGAACACCCTGCCCGCAGGACACACTTACTTGAGACTCTAAAATGTTCTCACCTAAACTCGGGGCAACAAAGGGCCTAAACTCATGGACTCTGGCTGAGGGAGGAGGATGCAGATGGCCCGCCCACACTCCGGCCTCCCTGGGTGGCAGCAGAGTGGGCCCCAGGACTCCACTTGGCAGGAGTGGAGGAAGCTGGCCTAGGAGCTTTGTCCTCCCTAGGTAGAAAGTTGTTTTGGAGGTGGCAAGGCCTTGGGGTGGCCAAACCCAGTGTACTCCCTGCCCCATGCACTAGTCAGACTAGCCCTGCAGGAGCAGGGAGATGCCCAACAAAGCGAGTCCCGGAAGAAAGGCCATCACCCTCATGGAGGGAAGGAGACTGTGACTCACTGTCCCAGGGTTGGGGGATGTAGGCCAAGCAGGCACCCTGAGGGGTCCCAGGAGCTCAGAGGCCTGGTGCGTCTCCACACACACCCCAGCACCATCGCCTACAGCTGCCACCAACCACGGCAGTCATGTGCCATTTCCAGGAATGGAGCAAAGGGCAGAGCTGGAGAGAGCACCCCAGTGTTCCCACCCACAGTGACTGCATCCATAGGCCAGAACCCATCTCCTGTGCTGAGCAGTGGGGACTCAGGCTCTGGCATTTGCCGTGCTGGGCCTTCTGCTGCCCCCACCCACTGGTACCTTGACGTCCCTCCCCACTGCCAGGTTCCCCAGGTGAGGGAGATGCCCTCGGCAAGAGGACACAGGGCAAAATGCAGAGCCATCACAGCCCTCCCAAAGGCCTCTCCGTCCCCGCCACAAACACTGGGGCTCCCAGGCGAGGTTTGGGCAGTTTGTGTCCTTGCCACCCTGTCTTCCCTGGGGGACAGCATTGCCCTGGGGATGGGGGACAAGTGGGTGAGAACAGGAGGGCAGGACCCAGAGTACCTGCAGGGTCCTTCAGGGTGGACCCTCGGGCCAGGCCACCTACTCCGGAAGCCCCACACTGGCCAACCCCAGCGAGCTCAGATTCTAAGCACCTCGAAGAGCCAACTCGGTGAAGCAGGCTAAATATAGAGCCTGTTCCTGCATCTCCCACCCCTGCCGTCACTCCCTGCTTCCTAAAATAGCCACGCACACAGCCGGTTGCTGCAACATCGGGAAATAGAGTTGTAAGTGCAAGCTGGTATTTCGGTCCCAGCGGAGCGTTCGGGCTGCCCTGGGCCTGGGGGAGGAGAGTGCTGGGGTGGGGGGTGGGGGGTGGCACGCAGCCAGAGGCTTCAGGTGGAGGCAGGAACACCTCAGCGTGGGGGATGGGGGGAGTCCTGATTGGGCACCTCTGCGATACCCCTACAGGGCATGGGGACCCTGAGGCCAGGGTAAGCCCTGGAGCCTGCATCTCCCTCCCTGGAAACCAATCCCTGTTCACAACCGCAGCTCCCACTGAGGTCGAGGCCCGGGCACCAGGATTTGCCGCCATTGCCGCAGGCATCAGCTCCCAGGAGCAGGGCGCAGGCCCAGCCCCGCATCTGGCCCCTTCACTAAAGGGGCCTGGACATGGGGCCTCCTGGGCTCAGCAGGCCTCATCCTGTTCCTCTGCCCTCTTTTCCAAGCCCAGGACACCCAGGTGGGAGCAAAAGCCTCTGGCCGGGAGCGGCTGGGTCCGAGGCTGGTGGAATACAGGACAGGTCTTTCAGGAGTTCTCTTAAGTGGGTGAGCCTAGGCCCCTTTCCCCACCTAGCCATGGAAGCAGCACTTGGCCTGGGGGCCCCCCAGTGTCCGCAACGCCCAGGCCAGGGGCACAAGTGGCCACTCACTGTGCTGGACTTGAGCTCGTCCCCGGCCTCCTCATCGGACTCCAGTGCCACAGGCAGGGACTTCCGGGGTGGCGAGAAGGTGAGGTCCCACCGCAGCAGCCGGGGCTCAGCACGGTCCCCCAGCCGCAGGCTCTCCAGCTTCTGCACCATGGGCTCTGCGGAGGCCGGCCTGAAGTTCTCTTTGCTCTGGGACTTGGGCCTCAGTCTCTGCAGCCCGAAACCCCGGTCCTCAGGCACACGCCGGTCGGCCCCTGCGCCCCGGCTGTGGCGCCGCCTCTGGGGGTGCACCTCCTGTGAGCCCGAGTCCATCCTCAGCAGCGGCTTCATCTCCAGCTTGTAGGTGCTGGGCTGCTCATCTGGCTCGGGCAGCCTAGCGCCCCCTGAGCTGGGGTTGCCCCCTCTGTGGTGGGAAGTCCACGAGAACGCAGTGGGGGACTCCGTCCGCCGCTCCCGAGGCTTGGGATTCCCAGGCAGCTTGTGACCAGAACTCCGGGTGCGGAAGTCCTCAGCTGGGTGGCTGCTGCGCAGGGCACCACCTCTGTTGCCCCTGGAACCACCGGCCCTCTCTTCGCCCCAGCTGTTGCGGGCATAGTCCCCTCCCCGGCCCTCCACTAGCATCTGAATGTCCCCACCCCGCTCCTCATCCACAGAGACCTGCCGGGAGAAGTGGGCCACCTTGTTCCTAGAGGTGGGTGCTGGTGGCGGTGTGGCCGAGGGGCTGGCGGGGAAGCTCTGCAGGGGGCTGTCGTCAGGGGTTAGGTCCGAAGGGGTGGTGCCCTTGCGGTACAGCTCAGGGCTCTCCTGCTGTAGGGGGCTCCCGGTGGACATCACCTCGATGTCATCGCAGGACACCTGGTGCTTCGGCCTCTGGTACTCGAGCCCTTGGAGGAGGAGAGAGCACACAGTGGTCACACAGAGCTGCACCTCCTACACACCCTGGTGACCTGGGGACTCGGCCTGTTCTGCAGTGGTCCGGGTGACCTCCCGGCCCCCACAGAGCAGAGGACAGCACCCTGCCTGGGCCCACACAGCTGACCTAGGAGGTGCCAGAGCCCAGGGAGGCTGAGCAGCAGCAGTTCTGTGCCGTCGCCTCATCCTCCTGGGCTGGAGCTGCCTTCCCTGCAGGGCCCCAGGGACCCCTAGTATCTGGCTTCCAGAGGCAAGGCGCATGCACACGCACATACACACACAACACACACACACACACACACACACACACACACCCTGCCAGCCCAAGCAGAAGGTCCCAGAGGCTGGGGCTGAGCCCCACAGCCCTGTGGGTCGGGCACAGAGCTCTGCCAGGGGCTGTGACCCATGGCCACAGCCAGGACACCAAGCACTGTGATACCTGACCACTCTCCTGCCTTCTGCACCAGGTCTGACTTCCTGCAGGAAGTTGGGGGGGGACCAGTGGTGATGCTGAGGTCCCAGTGACTTCCTCTGTGGTCCCAGAGCCTGGTGCAGGACAGAACTTGTGCAGTTCTGCCACACACAGGGTACTGGGCCCAGTGTGGGTATGCCAAGATGCACTGGGATTCATCACAGGCCTGATCCAGCCCTGGGCCCTCCAGCCGCACCCACCTTCCCTCGGGCACAATTGGACACTAGGATCATGCCCAAGCCCCCTACAACACATGCACCCTCATTGGATTCAGCTTCCTGGGGCCAGCATTCCTATTCCTGGACACCAGGGACCCAAGAAGCCAGGATCCGAGTCTGCAGGTGTCCTGTGGCTTCCTGGTGAGACCATCCACTGAGCAGATTTGTACCCCACAAGGGGCAGCACCCTAGTTCAGGGTCCTCCTCAGTTAATGTTAGATCCAGGCCGTGTGATTCTCTGGGCAGGGCCACTGTGCCTATCATGGCAGAACTTGGCACATTTTTGGCTCAATTCCAGTATCTTTGACCCCATCTTGTGTCCAGGGCACCTGGTCCCCAGTCCTGCCCCTGGACTTTGTGGGTAATGGGGCTGTCAGCAGGAGTGACCTGGGGACTGGACGCTGCCCTGGAGGGACCAGGCAGAACAAGGCTCTATACTGGGCCCGCTGAACAGCCCCAGGCCTTGGAGCTGGAGGCCAAAAGCCCAAAGCCTGAGCCAGGGATGTAGCTCAGTTGTGTCAACCCCACCTGGCAAGCGCAAGATCCTGTTTGATTCCTGTTCTGAAAACAAAACAAACACCCACAGCTGGACCCTGGAAACTTGTTCCAGCTTGCAGCTCAGGCCTTCTCTCTCACGTTTTGCTGTGACCTTTCCAAGATCCCGGTAAGTCTTTCTCTGAGACAGCAGCTCCTGCCCACGAGGGCCAAGCCCAGCCCCTGCTCCCCATGGGCCACATCCTGTCCAGCATTCCTCTACTACATTCTAGAAGGAAACAGGATGTGCTGGGATATTGGGGGGACATTCCAGAACTGAACCAAGACCATCACAGACTGATACAAATGCCCAGTAAACCTCAGGCAGAAGATGATGTAGGGGAAAACCCTAGGGGCCGCCTCCTGGGTGGTGGCTCTAACAGGAGCTACAGCCTGGGGGAGGAAGGATCTGCTCCCAACCCGTCTGCAGGCATGACGCCGCAATGCCAAGTCACTGGTCTGGGCCCCACCTGGGGCGTAGCAACCCTGCTGCCCCCTTCAGGCTGCTGAGGCTCAGGCCCAGTGGCCCCAGAGGACCCCTGTGCCTTGTCATAAGGAAAAGAGACACTTTCCAAGGAGGCAGCTTCAGATTCAGGACATAGTCCCAGGCCACCCCTAGGGAGCAAGAGCTGCAGCCAGCGAGGACTACGTGCCAGACAGGGACCAGAACAGAGGCCAGAGGTCCAAAGTCAGCCATGGACAGGGCTGGCCACTGGGGGGGGTGGGTGCTCAAAGGGGCCTCAGTCAAGGCCTCGGCTTCAATGGCTATAGATTTTTCTGAGTTGTGCTGGTACCACTCCACCTGTCTTGACTGTGCTGTGTTTCAAGGATGCTTGGAGTCAGTGCACTGCCCAGTCCAGATGACCTCAGATCTCTAACCTCTTTTTTTTACTTTTTGATACCGGAGAATGAACTCGGACCTTGCACTTGAGAAGCAGGTGGCAGCAACAGCTAAATCCCTGACCCATCTCTAACCCCGACTGTACCCACAGGGCCTTCTCCCCAGTGCTGCCGTGATTGATTGCTCCAGGCCTCTCGAAGGCACTTCTTTCAGGGCCTCAGAAGACACCAAGTACCCTCCTGTTCACACATGGAAGCTGAGTTGCTTGAGAGGATGAAACAGGCCCTTGGCAGTGGAACCAGCTAATGACATGCAGGGCTGGAGCGGGGGTGACCCACGGGCTGGGTTCCACTGTGGCAGCAGGTACCCCTTTGCCCCCACACTGCACGTGGCTTGCCTGGTAGAGAGAAGTCAGAGCCACCTGTGCCTGATAGCTGTGCTGTCCAAGCCCAGGGTGTCCAGGCCTCCAGAGGCCACCTCTGAGCCTGACGCATGGGGACCGGGCAGAGCCCATCAGGGTAAGGGTTGGGGAGACAGGGCAGAGGGCCCTTTGTCCTTCTGACTTTCTGGACCAGATGTGGCAGGCTTGACAAAACCTCACCCCTTCCACATTCAGCCAGAGTACCCGGGGAGGTGGTACTACACTGTCTGTAGGGCGACCCCAAGAACAGGCAGCGGGACTGCCAGCCCTTACTGCAGCCTATAGAGCACGGCTTCCTGTCCCTGCACCAGTGGCCAGTTCAGGGCTGTGCCTGGGACTGTGGGTCCTGCTCCCACCCCAGGCTAGGTGTGGAGATCCTGTCCCCATTCTTTGGGGCTGTGTGGCACAAATGAGACTACCTATTGAGGCCATCAGGGCAGTGCATGATAGCCCATGAGACCAGGATGGGGCCTCGGCCACCCTGTGCAGCCTGGTGGCTGGGGGACCAGGTCACAGGAAAAAACACAACACAAAGACACTGGCTGGGCAGAGTCCAGCCCACATCAGGGCCCAGCAGCATGGAAGCCACTGACAATCCATGCTAGCCCTGGCCACACACACAGCTGTGCGCTTTTCAGCACGGGCAGGTGGGCTGGGTTTAAACAGAAGACATGGTCCCTTAAGCTCTCCACAGGGCCCACAGGCTGGTGGCTGCCATGCTGGATGTAGCAAATGGTATTCCATCCTCAAAGGAAGTTCAGGGCGATGGGGGGGCAGCACACATGGGATGGGTGTACATACAAATGTGTTGGGCACTCGGCTGTAGGAAGGGAAGTGGGCGATGGTGAGACATCTGCTCTGGGCAGAATCTGAGACCCTGTAGGCCTTGGGGACATGTCTGATGCCACATCCACCTGAGCTGCCCCATCAGTCAGTGGGACTCACCATTTTCCCGGTGCTGGAAGGAAGGCGAGAACTCTTTGGCAGTGATCCTGGCGATCCGAGCTTCCTCCTGAGCTTTCTGAGCTGCTGTGAGGGCTGCCTCAGCCTTGGCCCGAGAGTGGGAGGTCCTGTGGAGACGGGAGCAGTGAAGGGTGACAGGAAGCCGAAGGGTGGCTAGCAGCCTCACAGCAGCAGGCAGAGGCTAGGTAACCTCATCAGCCTCAGCCTTCAGGATCTTGTTTGTTCGTTCCTTCATTCATTCAGCAAACATCATTGGTACCAACCAGCCCGGATTTAGATCATACTGGGAATGTGTTCTTACTGTCATTGAACATGTGCGTGAAAAGGCCAAGCCAGATGAGGCCACACTCACAGCAGACTGGCTTCTGCAGCCACCAGCAAGCAGGAGCTGCTGAGCTGCCAATAGCCCATCACTCACCCAGCCATGAGCCAGGCCCCAGGAGGGGCAGATGTGATGCCCAGGACCACACATGGCAATCCCAGGGCAGTGGTGACCGTAGCCACTTCTCCAAGATGGAGGGGCTCCAAGTCTGGGGGGGACCCACTTGCTGCCCACAGACAGCTCCTCACTGTGTCATCCTGGAGCAAGGGGCAGGGTGCTGCCCCCACCCGAGGGCCTCGACCTCAGTCCTGAAGCCCCTGTCCCTAACAGCAGTGCACCGAGCACAGACCCAGGACACATGCCCAGGCCCTGTCCTAACCCTGCAGCCCTTGTTGGCAGTAGGTGCTGCTGGGTGACACCCCAAACCCTCCATTTTTCTCAAAATCCTGCTATGCCAACAGGAACAATTTTGCCAAGAGAAAGCTATGCATAGACATACAGGAACACAAATCCCAGCCACTGAGGACACCCCACCTGGTCCCCATTTCCCTTGAATACCTGCTTCCCAGGCATCCCTACTTCCTCCTGAGACACCTTCGCGTGGGCCCCAGAGATTGAAGAAAAATCCTTGTGCCAAAATTTAGCATTGAGAAAATTCTACCCCACCAGTGGTTTCAGTTCCTAGAGTTGGGAAGATCAGCCATCTCAACCCCACAGTGACCCCAGGTCCCTGAGCACCAGGCAGGAACCACACCTGGAGGTCCCCTGTAAATCAGGTGGCGATGACAGAGTCATGGAGATGAGCTATTAGTAAAGCACTGACCAGTCCTGCTTTGCCGTCAGTAAGGACAGATCACTGAGATGCCACTGCAGAGCTCTAGGCCACCCAACCACCCCGTGTCCCTGCAGACCTGGGAGCAGCCCTGTGTGGGAACCCCCAGTGCATCTCAGGGCACGGGGGGGTCCTGCTTCTGGAAGCTCCGGCAGAGCAGGGTGACCCCGGCTGGCAGAGGAGCCCTTGGTCACACTGGCAGCCAGTGAGGTGGCACCACGCTCATCTCTGCAGGGGACCCTGATGCCCAGATAGGTGTGCAGGTCTTGCTCCTCTGATAATAACTGGTGGAGTGCCCAGGGCTGTGCGGCCGTCCACTGTCCTCCCACACAAGGAACTTGAAGCCCACATCGGCCCAACCCTGGCTGCCACTGGTCTACTTGTCCTGATAGATCTGCCTACTCTGGACATTTTATACCCACCTGCTTTTGTAGGTTCTCTCCTGTTTTCATGGAGGTGAAATCCCCACAACATGAAATGAGCCACTCTAGGTTGTAGAGACTGAACCTGTGGTGCAGAATCGGGCAGCACCCCAGGCCTGAACCTGGAGGATGTTCCTGTGTATACATCACACACGTACAGGAAGAGCAGGTTGTGCCAGCCCTGAGTAAAGGGGTCAGGACAAGGGCATCTAACAGCAGACCTGAGGCAATGCAGGGTCCTTTCCAAGGAGACTCTGGGACTTGGCTGGAGCCCAGCTCTCCAGGTAGTGGTTCCTGCCACTGCTGCTGGGTCCCAACAGCCTGGAGCCCACACCTGGGTGATAAGGGGGGCACTCACAGGCTACCCTGCATGGTGATGTCACCACCTCTCCCTACCATCTGCACCTGTAGCTCAGTGCAAAGGCCTGGGGTTCAATTTCCCCAGAAGGTAAAATGCCAAAACAACAGTTCCCAGGGGAAGGGCAGCCAGCAGGTGCTATCAATTTATGGAACCAGAACTCCAGGTGGGCAGAGGAAGGCCCTGGATCCTGCAGCAGCTGCTTTGAGTCCTCAGCCCCTCCCACAGGGACACGGTGACCATGCAGACCCCACCTGTTGTGCCAGTGGCTAAGAAAACCAGCCAAGGATGCAGAGAGAAAAAAATCTGAGCCGACTGCTGGAGAGCACCCCACGCTAGCCAACCGAGCAGATGATGGGAATGGTGTGGGAGGCAGGGACCTTCCCTCCCGGCCCACTGGTCCTTGGTGTGGGTCTGAATCCTGAGGTGCGCCAAAGCCCAGGCTGCATGGCTCTTGGGCTGGTGCGTCATCTGCTGTCCACATGTTCGCACAGGACACTTGGTGCAGACTGGGAAGACAGGGAAGATGTCATCTGGAGGGAGGCGCGGGGTGACCTCCCCACACCTTGACACCAGCCAGGGAGAGGCGCTGTGCAGCTCAGATCTAGATGTCCCCAAGACCACATGCCCAGAGGCGGAGCTTCTGGAGAGTGATGGATCATGGGCTCTGTGGTTGAGTTGTTGTTCAAAGGTGGGGTCTGGTAGAAAGAGGCGCATCCTGGACACCCCCATCTCCCTGCAGGGCCCCTCTCTCCTCTACTTCCTGTCTAAGGCACGGTGAGCAGTCATCTCCACCATGGCGCCGTGCTTGGAGATGGCTCACAGTGGACTGAAACCTCTACAGACTGAGCCAGGATAGACCTTGCCTCCCTTAAGCTGCAGTGTCGGGCCACGTCTCAGACAGGGAAGTCACTGAGACATCCATGTGACTTCTTACCAGCAGGCTGGTAAGAGGATAGACGTATTGTCTGAGCCTCGGCACCTGTGGCCATGTGATCAGCAGCCATGGGAAACAGGTAGGCATCCTGGCTCTACCTTGCTCTCCGTTCTGAGCCGGAGTCCTTGTTCTTTGTCCCAGGCAGCCATGGGACATGTGGCAGAGTTGTGGGAACAAGGAAACCTGCCCTTGTCTCTGCTGGCAGCCCGGGCTGTCCTTCCTCACAGACCCTCCTGACGCAGGGACAGCTAGGCTTCTGCCTGCGCTACCGTGGCCACAACCCCACCTCTGCCCTCCTCCTGGCCTGGGATCGCCTGCCTGCCTGGCGTGATTCCTGACGGGAGGACAGCCAAGCTGAGGGAAGTATCCCACCTGCTGCCCAGCCAGGGAGAGGCCTGCAGCAGTCAAGGCGGAAGAAAGCTCGAGCCTCTGCGGCTCCCAGGCCTGGCTGCTGTGCTGCCTTCCATGTCTATGGGAAGCGTGTCCCTGGCTGGGAGGGCGCTGCCTGGCCCCCACCGGCTCTGTGTCCCTCAAGTGGTCCTCACCTGCTGGGGTTCAAGGAGTTGGGGACCTGAGCACTGGCCACCGTGGGGTCTGGCTTTGCCCCTCTGGGAGCTCCCAGTGGCATCCCTGCTCACCCTGCCAGCAGGCCCCCGTCTTCTGCCACAGGGCTTGGACTCACACTCGATTTGAGTTCTCAATGCAGCTAGAGTGCCCAGGTGCTTCAGATCAGGCCCAGGCTGTCCCTGTTGTCACTGATGTCTCCCCCGGCTGGGGTCCTGGTCAAGTGAGCACTGTGCAGGCCTCTTCTCCCTCTTGGGATTCTGCTCTTTCTGCCTCATGTGGTCCCAGCAGTGTCACACTCCCCACGGGAGGCCCTCGGGGACCCCACAGTGGAGACCGAGGCCAGGTCCCTGCTGCAGGCTCCACACCTGTCAGAATCCCCTCTCCTGCCTCCTGCCCACTCTGAGGCTCAGGACGGCAGGGCCAGCCCGGTCTGTGTCCTCAGGACCAGCAGTGGCCCACATAGGGACAAGGCCTCTTTGGGGCTGAACAGACAACCGTGGTTTCCTTAAAGGCTGACGGCCAAGAGCCAGAATTTGGAGCAAACAGATGCAGGAAGTGCCACATCAGGACCAGGGAGTGTCAGACACAGGACATGTCACTCGAGGACCAAGAAGTGTCAGACTCAGGAAGTGTCAGATGCAGCAAATGTCACACCAGGACCAGGAAGTGTCAGTCGCAGGACGTGTCACTAGAGGACCAGGAAGTGTCAGATGCAGGAAGTGTCACTCAAGGACCAGCAAGTGTCAGCTGCAGGAAGTGTCAGTCGCAGGAAGTGTCAGACGCAGGAAGTGTCACATCAGCACCAGGAAGTGTCCCACCAGTGCAGGGCCATCCCTTCACTGCAGCCGAGCTGTTCTCACTATTCTCGTATTGTTAAGCAGCTGCAAAGAGTTGCCCACAGCCGCAGAGTGACGCGTCCCTTCAAGGACTGGTCAGTGGAACCGGATCCCGCACCTCCTGTGGGCCAGAAGCACACGCCATTGCGGCATGAAAGTCACTCTCTGCTCTCCAACTTTTGAGTTTCCATGGGAATAAAAACCAACACTGCCCGCTCTCGTGTTGGCAGTGTGTTGAGTTGTCCTGCTTTAATCTCCTACCAGGACCGCAGGGGACCCCAGGGACCCTTCCCTGCCTCAGGCCTGCAGGGGCCACACCTGTCTGGGCAGGCACTTTCACGATGCCTCCATATTGCAGAGAAGCGAACTGCAGGCCACACACGCTCAACTCCAGAGACCTGAGCAGGAAAGGCCACAGGGGGACAGGGACAGCCCCACTGAGAGCCTCTCACACTTCTTGGTGTCCCCGAGGCGCCCCAGGTCCCTCCCCAGCATGGTGTAAGGGGAGTGCAGATGGGGCTGTGGGTAGAGACACCATGGAGCCTGGGTGTGCTGCACACTGAGGGGCCCCAGTGACCATGCTGCAGGCTGGGAGCCAGGCCACTGGGGAGCCAAGGGAGGGTGTTGGGTCCCCATGCTCCACAGAGCGAAAACCGAGGCCTTGGAGATGCAGGGATGCACCCTGGGGAGCTCTTGCCTGGGCGTGGGGCCTGTGACAGGGCAGCCTACGGTGGCCAAAGCAGCAGGGGCTCCTCCGCCTGCACCTGCTCCTTCCTCCTGTGTGCCCAGAAGACTGCAGGTGCCACCCTGGTACATGCACACAGGCTGGTGGC